GTGAGAGAACAATTCCACTACTTTTCACCTCGAAAAAAAAGCAGACGACGAATAATAGAATCTAATTTACAATATCTATTAAAGTTTAAAAAGAAAACACCAACAATACCTTCATATAATGTCGTCATGATCTCAGCCAGGAAGACGTCCACTGCTGGACAAAGGGCGCTCCCAAAGATCTCCACGTCGATCTGTCCTGCGCTTCTCGCATCCATCGCCTTCCAGCGATCTTGATCAGATCGTCGGTCCAACTTGCTGGAGGCCTTTCCACGCTGCGTCTTCCAGTCCGTGGTCGCCACTCGAGGACTTTACTGCCCTAACGGCCATCTGTCCTATGAGCTATGTGCCCTGCCTTTTGAAACTTCAGTTTCGCAATTCTTCGGGCTATATCGGTCACTCTGGTTCTTCTGCGGATCTCCTCATTATATATTCATATAATGTACCACCGTTTAATTTAACTCGACTTCTCGAGTGACTCGAGACAAAAGTGTAATAAAGTTTCAAACGTCTCAGTTACCTCCTCAAAGGTACTTGAAGCGCGTGTCTGGACCCGGAGTGGACCTTTATCTGCCACTTAATCACGTCAAAGATTACCTTTATCCTTTTAAAGTGCACAGTATATTGTCTAGCCTTTCACGTACTACAAATTTGCAGTGAAATATCTAGAAACGCCTTGTTAGGGTTTCTTGTTTAAGGTTTGCTGTATTTATTATATGAATGCATTTCTATGCTTTGACTCAAGTTGTACTAACAATGTAATTACATTAATTATTTGCTTTATTTATGTCTTCATGCCACATCTCTTATTGTATAGACAGAGAGACAGTGTCATTTGTAAGGATAAATATGGAATGGTATACACCAGTCTGTTTTAGTGGTATACCCATACGGTTTACTATTAGAGGACAAGCGTCAAAATCATTGTAGTTGAAATAATAGAGCGTTGGTTTCCAAGGAGGAATTCGTGGATATATTATTATCTACAGGTTTACCAAATTACAGAGCATGAATGCATGGCATTTTAGTTCTTCAGAATAGCAACCAATAAGTTGGGCATGTGATAACATGATATTGTGGTGTTGTTGATGTATATAGGTGACGGTTTCCATCAAATAGGCCATTTAGCTTGTCATCCAGTTACTTAAAAAATGCAAGTTTAAACAAATAATAATAATATCGTTCGACAATTCAAGCAAAGCACCATCAAGTCCCATGCTAAGTAGAGCTTGTGATATGGGTAGTATACAACGGATATATGCAAGTATTTATATCATACACACCTTTTTTTATAAATACATACACAATATAAGCATAGAAAACACCCAGACCGACACAAATAATCTGACTCGTGAATACAAATGTTTGTACCATGCGAGGAATCAAACCCGCGACCATCGGAATTAAGGCAGTATGCTAAACGGTTCGACTACCGAGACCGTTATAAAGTTTTTAAGAAAAAAAAATGAAATAACATCAAGTAGTTACTTAGTTATAGACAAAGTTATAACAACCTTTGACTAATTGGAATATTTTTTATAACGGAATGTATTTCACAATATTTCATGATTAAATTGAAAGAAGAAGTTGGCTCGCTGTTTATATCGAGTAACACCGGTAGGTTTATAATAGTTTCTATGTTAACTACCAGTAAATATACACTTTAAGTGTCATTCTTGGAAATAAATTGATATCAACTAGAGCTGGTTCACTGAGTAGAAAAGTAACGGGTTCTGAACTCGTAACTTTAGTTTTTATACTTTAGTTACGTTGTCGTTACTTTGGCATTATTGTAGTTACTTTGGGACTGTAATTACACTATGACTGTATCTTTGTTATTAATAGTTTATCATTACTTAGTTACAATAGGTACCTAGTTACTGTACGTATTTAGTTACTTAAACCAAATCAGATAAGACTTAATAACTGCTGGCGACATGAATAAAAAGATTATCGGTTTCGAAATCCAAAATAATAACAAATGAAATCAGACAGTACCCAAAAAATTCGGAACGCAAATAACCTGAATTGACATAGGAACTTAATAAGTAATTAGTAACTTACCGTAACGAAACCGTAGTAACGACTACTAAATCGATCAGTCACTGACGTGTAGTTATATGTCGTTACTTTTACAGCTCTAACATCAACTAATCTAGTATTCATGGTACTCACCTGCTCTTTTGTGTCGTAACAACGAGTTTTATTAACAAGTGACGTAGTACTTGTCATGCGTTATCGCCGACATTTGTCTCAATAAATTGAACAGAAATAGTTGTTGCAGTTTTTTTCTTTGTAATAATAACACGTAACTAAATAATAGATTACCATTAGTGTCTATCAGAAACGTATTATGATATTATTTTTAAGGCTGTGCATTCACTTGGTCTTCGGGTAAAATATATTTTTTATAGGTACTACTAGCTATATATTTTATAGGTTACTAACTAGCTGTACCCGCGATTTCGTCCGCGTGGAATAGTGACTTTAGACAGCATAAAATATTTAATAATCTAACTCCATAAAAGCCAAAGAAAAAAGTTTCATGGTTCTAGCTTCAAAAATGACTAATTTCTACACAAAAGTTTTATACCCTATCTTATTTTACCCCTTAAGGGTAAAGTTTTTACAAACTTTGAATGTCTTACTTATGAATATATAATTATTTAATTAACAGCCTATAAAATAAGTTTCAAGCTTATAGCTTTAATAAAAGACGATATTTCTATACAACCTTTCATCCCTCCTTTTAACACCTCACAACCCTTTGTTCGCATTATAAAATAGCCTATGTCCTTTCTCAGACTAGACTATCTGAGTACCAAATTTAATTTATATCGGATCAGTAGTTGCGTTAAAGCGCGACAGACAGACGGACAGATAGCGTTACTTTCGCGTATATAATATTAGTAAGGATTCCAAACAAAGCTGATGTTTTTTTTGTCCTAATCATAGGTATCTAAAATACTAATTCATGCTCAATGCATCCTTTATGATAGGATTGAAAGATCACCCCAAAACGGTCAGCAGAATAATGATTGCATTCAAATGAGACCAGGTGCCCTGTAGTTACAACAAAAAAATTCAATGGAACATTGTCAGAAAGATTTCTTCGCTGACCCTACTTTATCCAACCAGTAGTGAAATAACTATTATTCCATTGTAATAACGACCTTGTTCGATGAGATTAAGATTGATTTTTGATATTCAATGTAGGTATAAGGGGGTTTCGCTTGTCCATTGTGAAGTCCTGACCCTTTCAGTTAATATTGACACTAATAATAATAAGTTTGTACACTTAAAACAGTTGTGCGACGAGAAAAGCATTCAGGTCAACAGCTGCTCGATCTCTATTTGTTTTTATTAACATTCTGACCTTAGTTTAGTTTCTATTGCGGAATAAAGTTTTCACTTAAAATAATTAACAATACACATCGTTTAGGAGTATTATTAAGAAGTAGCTTTGGGCGGTTTCACCGACGTGAAATATATAGCCTATGTATTATTCTGATATATAATCTATATTACTGTAAAGTTTCATCAAAATTCGTTCAGTAATTCCTGCGTGATAGAATAATAAACATCCATATTTGCATTATACAGAAAGAGTAAATTATCTCTTTATATGTATTATATTAAATTATCACTGAAATATTTATAACGGCACGGAATCTATCGATATAGTTCTAAAATACTTGAAAACTACAATAATAAGGAAAGATAAATTATTTTTTCTATATGTGTATATACAGATAATAATAACATCTTATTGGTGGTGGTTTACGTTGTGGATTGAACCTGTTTTTCCTTCAAGACACCATTCTGCTGCATAAAATGTATCCGTACGTTTTTTATTTACTTTACACAAATCTATAATCGAAAATTCTGGACTAGTCTAACTAATAATTAGTATTAAAGAAGGAAATCCATAATTATATTTTAAGTTATAAAACTTGGTAATTAATACAATTTACTATAAATTATAAACAAAAGAAAAGGTTTTTTGGACTGATAATTACAAAATTTTAATTATTATGACATAATTATATTTTTTGAAAGAATTACTAATGCCATCTACATTATAGTTGTGTGTAATTAAAAATGAACACCGCCATCTAGCGAAGCATTGCTCCAACTTGTCATGTAACAAAAATAAGCACGCATAAGCATAGTATAAGTAGTTATAATAATTATGTGTTGCAAAAGATGGCGCTACCTATCTCTTATTGGAATAATATACTTAAACAGTTACGATGTTAGCAAACCATTATAATAAAATAAGTATTTAAAGATAAGTGTAATCAATACCTAATTTTCAAAGTCCCTGACTTATTTAATCAATTTAAACATAATTATGGGCTTATTATATGATATGTCCCCATTTCAAAAAGTCTAATGTAATAGAAATGTCTTTCATAAATAATGCCATAGCTTAATTCTATGGTAATTTGTAAAAAATATAATATTTATATATTATAAATTGTATATTCTTAAATTGTATTATAATATATATCTACAGTAATGAGAAATTACATAAATCGATATTTTTTTTTGTACACCACAATTCTAGAAACTACTATATACTTTCCGTACATTAATGTACTAGTTTTTACCTGAGATTACGCCTGCTTTTTAGTCAAAACATTCACATGTTTGTTGTTGTCACACTGTCTTCACTGTAAATAAAGAACAGATTTTGATGAAACTTTACAGTAATACGCTTATGCATTAGAATAATACATAGGCTATATTTTATATTGAAATTTATGAAGTATATTGAAAAGTAGAAGTATATTGAAGTTTAACGCGGGTGAAACGGCGGGCACAGCTAGTGTATTTGTTTCAGTTGATATACTTCCTAGTTGGGATATATGATCAGGTCAGATCTGCTTTTTTAGTCACAATAAACCATTTATATACAATAATTCAAAAATTTAATATTCTGTTATGCATAATTAAACAAAAAGACAATTAAAAACAAAACAAACAAAAAACATTTACGATTAAACAACAATAACATCTTCCTTATTCATTTGCTTTAACAGATTTGAAACCGGTTCAAATTCTCTCTTCAAACCCTTCTCACCCATATAATAAGGATAATTATAGTCTGCAGCCAAATAGAATATGCCATGCTTCGTCTGATCAACGTTGGGTCCGAGTAGATTGGTGACCATTGGTGTCCTGTCGTAACAATTCATATCCCGCGCCTGCTGTACTGAATCACATTGCATTGCTATAAAGCTGTTTGGATTCCGCAGTGCTGAATACCATATTGTATACACCTTAACATGGCTACAGAGTAATTCACAAGGTATCCAATAAAGATCAGATAGTTGATATTCCCCTCCATTGATGTAAAAATTAACATGGCCCACTGGAGCAGCCATTCCTAAACCATCTATGTTAGTGCTTACCACTTCCACGTAATCGGCATCACTCTGGTCCAGTCTTTGATCAGGACCTAAATTTCTAAAGCACGGCCCCGTTGGGTCTAATGCAGTAAGTTTGCTTAACTTAGTACCCGATAATTCCTTGAAGGATTTAGCTATGAAGCTGATGGTTTCACCACCGAGACTCAGACCTACAATTTCGAGGTTTTTAGGGTTGAACCCGACGTTTTCAAGAGTCAGGTTGTATAACATTTCACCAACACGTCTTCCAGCGGAAGGGACAAAACGTGCGACTCTGAAATAAAAATTTAGGATAACATTTTGGTACCTAGTATTATTTTTCTATTTATGTTGCATAAAGCATTGATACAAAAGAACACATCAGATGTCGTCCTGCCCGGAACAGCAGATCTACCTAGATATATATCACATTTAATTGTGTTTACAATCCACCCAGAAATCTATTGTATGTGTATAATACACACAAAAATGCATCTAAATGTATCAAGTCGATTAGGAGCATTTAGGAGAAGATGTTCTAGATTTTGCTAAATCATTTTGTAAAGAAGTAACATTTAGTTAGATTTTCAATATTTATAATGGATAGATATTTTATGTAACATTGAAAATAATAACAAATTACACATTTATTAAACGTTATTGATTTTCTGGAGAACAAACGTAATAATAATATGTGCTCACTTTTGGGAGTAAAAATTTTTGCAATTTACACTCTTCGATATTGATGTCCTCTATAAAACTGTAGTACCTCACTTTAGACGTACATTAGAATTATGTATTATTATAATTTATATAGATAATACTTACTCTGGAAATTGATAATTTACAAATTGATAAATATCTATCAACCAGACATTATAACCTAAATTCCGGTAACTACTCTCCAAGATCCTGGAAGGGGGTAAATCTGGATTATCAAAGTAACCACTTATGAATATTACTGTTTTCCGACTGTAATCCATTGTGGGGTCTTTAGCCATCTGCTTTATTTGATAATATGTGTACTTCCTCCTTACTGAACGTGGTGTTGCTTTAGCTCCTATGACTTTAATACGAATATTCTTCAAAGATTCTTTCGATATCAATATTGGATTCTCTTTACCAGGACCTGTAAATGTTAACTAATAAATAAAGTTCAAGAACGGTAGACTTTTTTTACGTAATCGTAATGGCAAACAAAGTAAGGGCTCACCTGATGGTAAACGGTAATCATCGACAAGAACAGCACTGCGGATATCAAGTTATCGTATGCAGAGGGCTAAGCATACCTCGTATCCTGTAATTTTACTGTCTAGTCGTATTCTATATCGTAGACTAAAACACAGCTTACTGTTTGGCAGCCAAAATAAGTGAGACTAGTTCTGGCAGTAGGGTGGAAAGAGGATTGTTAGGTCATATCAGGTTGACCTCCACGCGATTCCCCCTGTAAACCATCGTCATAAACTCTTGGTGAATTTGTCACGATGGGCTGACTTGCCCTCATGTTCATCTTATCATCCTCCACTGGTGCCCCGCCAGCGTAGACCGTTAGCGCAGGCGGGTGCACCATTTCATTATCATCCATAAAAAAAAAGTTCTGGTACAAGGTACTACTTTTTGAGATGTATTGTGAGTGTGTTTTGGTTGAAGAAGATACGGTAGTGGATTTTCAGAATACGAGGGCATAAAGTCTTCAAGAATGACAACATATGGGTGTATCTATGGACGTTAAGTGAAGACGTGATGGCCGTAGTAACGTTAATATCAGCAGGTGACGATGACCATTTTCTATCAGGCATTGTTCACTGTACATTGTTACGATAACATCATTTCATATGCTTTGTTTTGTTAAGTTATAGCTGTCTTTGAATTGGTTTAGTTTATTATTATTGTATACTTTATCACAACTGAACATACTCAACTTAAAACAAATCCATTATCTGCCTAAAAATTACTTTGATTAGTTATACATGTATAGCTTAATAATATAGAAATGTATATACATATTCATAATTAGAACATATTAAAAAATATGTAAATATTGTTGTAGTACTTACAGTCTGAAAGGAAGCCAGAATGATATCCTTTCACTAATTTTGTATCCTGCACAGGTCCTGTATTCACAAAGCTAAATAATATTGGCGCGCAAATCAAATAAAGAACGACCTCCATCTTTTTAGACTAGCTATGTTTGCAAATTTAATTATAACTGTATATATTTTTAGTCTTTACATTGTCTTCTAAAATGGACGTCACGCGCATACTAAATTTTTTAACGATATGACATTATATTTAAAAGATCTCTATTTTATTACACGTATCTAGAATTCATTGAGTGATCTGTGTACCCTTTGGATGACCTCATGAGAATTTTAAGTTGGCGAATGAATGACGAATTGTTAAAATCTTAAATATATAACCTGAAAATCATTGCATGTTATATGAACACACGAAACACATAAATATAATCTGAGTCCTCTCTACCTGATTGTCTTGATGATGTATAATAAAATTTAGTTTAGTTATTTTTAAAAAAATTAATAATAAATAAAATCATTGTAATTTAATTAAGTTAATTTGTGATCACCAGTCGGAATGGTATGTTACATTTATTGATTGATCTACTTCAAATTACAGATTAAAAATTCTTAAATGAATTCTGTTTAGGGAGATCATTAGGAGGATTTTATTGACCACTGTGACACGTACATAAAATGTATATTTATACTTTTACAAATTTCTCTTTGTGTTTTTTTATTTATTGTTCGTTCTTCGTTGGTCACTTACTTCATTTTGATCTTAATTTCTGGTTTTGAACGGTTTGGTTTTGGCATTTGGATTGGATTGTGTTTCTTATACGTATCTATGATTATTTTTTGTTATTACTCGTTGTATATTAAGTCTCTTGTTTTTGTGTTTCGCGTAAGTACATGTTTATTTTTTTTATATTTTTCATTTTTACAATTACTGCTAAATATAGAGACAATATTTAGCAGTAATTAGGTAAAAATAGAATATAGTAACATTTATTACTATAAATATAAAAAATTGTGGTAGATATTTCAGTGCATCCTGCCTTTTTTCTAAGTTCATTCATTCAGCGCTCACACGTGCTGAATTCAGATTGTTCATAAAAGTTTTCAATTAAATTGACATTTAAATGAAGCTGATTTCCTAACATTAGGTAATGAAGTCGTTGTTGAGGTTAGAGAGCACAAACCCACTGACAAAACATATTATTGGTATTGGCTTGGTATATCCATTATAACTAATCTCTGAATAAGTCGTATTTACTTATCCAATAATAAAATAATTTTGAATTGCATGTTACGATTATTGCGCTAGGTACATATTTATGAATTAATCAAAATCGGTTGAAGGGTTAAAAAAATTATCTAATATTACTAATAAACGATAACATAAAATATTTTATTTATAATTAGAAGTTAACAATTTAATTTATACAACAATAACGTCATCTTTATGCAATTGTTTGAAGAAATTAGCAAAAGGTTCCAATTCTTTTTTCAGTCCATTCTCGCCCATATAATAAGGATATTTATAATCTGTTGCTAAATAAAATAAACCGTGTTTTGTTTTATCTACGTTCAGGCCAACCAGATTTGTAACCATTGGTTGTCTATCGTAGCATTTTCTATCTCTGGCTTGCTGTACAGAATCACATTGCATTGCGATAAAGCTGTTTGGATTCCTTAACGCCGAAAACCATATCGTATACACTTTTATATGACTGCAAAGTAACTCACAAGGCATCCAGTAAATATCTGATATTTGGTACTCCCCACCGTTTATATAAAAATTAACATGGCCGACTGGTGTGCCTATGCCTAAACCATCCATATTAGTGTTTAAAACCTCCACGTAATCTGCATCACTCTGGTCCAGTCTTTCGTCTGGCCCCAAGTTTCTAAAGCAAGGTCCTGTTGGGTCCAATGCTGTGAGCTTGCTAAGTTTAGTACCCGATAGTTCTTTGAAGGCCTTGGCTATGAAGCTGATGATCTCACCGCCAAGACTCAAGCCAAGGATCTCAAGTTTCTTAGGATCGAAACCAACGTTTTCAAGTGTGATGTTATAAATCATTTCACCGATACGTCTTCCAACAGTAGGCACGTGTCTGGTGACTCTGAAATTAAATGGCAGATTTTAAATATACACTAACTGGTATAAGTAAAGATAAAGAAGTAATAGGATATTGTCACTACAATATTGTAACTAATGCGGTTAATCCGAGTTGCTTATTGCTAATTAAAATAGGATTATTGCCATATTATCATGGCCAATGAGAGATAACATGACTAATCGAGCGATTTACTGTATGAAGAGTCGTGACTCATTAAGAGAGAAATTCAAAGAGGCAAATATTCTCACCGTTGCTTCTCAATTTATATATTCAAATATCCTATATGTTCATAAAAATCTTGACTTATTTCCAAAAAACAGCAATATTCATAATATTAATACTAGATTTAAAGACAAACTTGCTGTCTCCAAGTATCGTTTAGAAAAAGTCAATAGGTCTTTTATGGGAACAGGTATAAAATTTTACATTAAGATACCAAAGGATTATTTGGTATCTTATTGTAAAAATAAATTCTTAATATATCTTCTTAAATAAATTCAAAACATCTGTTAAATTATATTTACTGAGCAAGGCCTATTACTCACTAAACGATTACTTGAATGACGAGCGTGCATGGCAATAGTTTTTATGTTCGGGATTTTCATTTAATGTTAGACATGACCTATATAAATACCTATGCATTGTAAATAAACTAGATTTAAAAAAAAAGTAATTCAATTGAGTTTCTTGCCAGTTCTTCTCAATTGGATCTATGTACCGAACTGGACGGTAGGAAAAAAAAATTATAATGTAAAACTTGACGTTCATAAGCGGCTAAAATATCCTACATGAATAAATGATTTTTGAATTTGAATTTGAATGCAACACTCGTTATCTCCACATCTTGCAGACTATTTTTGAATCGAACGATGCGGGAAGCGGTGTTATAGTTTAACTTGTTTTTGATGTTTCTATTACCGAAGAGTTTGTTCGAAATGTAACAAAAGTTTTTATAAAAATCTTTGAGTGGAATTGCAAAATGGAACTCACGCCTTTTGGAGTTCATGACCCAGGTTAACAAAGTCCTACGAGTATAATTCATATATAATAGATGTTTTTTTATTCTACTTCACAATATCTGATACCTACATCCTGTTATATACATTACATCTATCGAAATATATATAACTCAAAGGTGACTGACATAGTGATATATCAACGCACAGCGCAAACCACTAGACGGATCGGGCTGAAATTTGGCATGCAGGTAGATATTATGACGTAGGCATTCGATAAGAAAGGATTTTAAATAATTCTACCTCCAATGGGATAAAATAGGGGATGAAAATTTGTATAAAACTTTGTGAATTTTAAACCGATCTGGCTGAGACTTTGCGTGCATAAAGCTATTATGACGTAGGCATCCCCTTAGAAAGGATTTTGATAAATACCACCCCTAAGAGGATAAATTAACGCGAGCGAAGCCGCGAGCAAAAGCTAGTTATTCCATAAAATTTGTAGCTTATGTGTTATTCTAATGTATAAGCTATATTACTGTAAAGTTTCATCAAATCCGTTTAGTAGTTTTTGCGTGAAAAAGTAACAAACAGCCATCCATCCATACTCACAAACTTTCGCGTTTATAATGTATGTAAAAAGTAAGATATAAACGAAATATTTATTAGGATACTATTATTTAAGAACTCCGTCCGATACAATCAAAGAATGATGAAAGAAGCAATTAATATTTATAAATATCAAAATTTCAATAGATGTTTCAATTTCTCCAATACATCATTTCAAGGATCAGTGTTAAACTTAAAGTCAATGTGTTTTGTCGTGGCTATCAAGTGTTTTCCAGTAGAAATCGTGACGATAAAGACTATGAAAGACTGGATGAAAGGAGGTAACTGTTCGTCATAATTGTTTACATCCTCCACCATCTACAGTCGTGCCATGACCTAGACTTTTGTAACAGCATCGAACTATCGGAAACTGTTGACTAATAGTATCTTAGTAATCATTTCGTTTATATAATAACTACAATTGTAAACATTGTTAAAAGGGTTAAAACACTATATCTTTTATAAGTAATAGATGTAGTGTTTTAAAGAATTGTAAGCAATTGTAGTAAGTCCATATTCTGGAATAGGATTGTTTTGAGCAATTACTGAATCTTTATTATAATTTATTGTTACAAATATAATGTTATTTACTTTTGGTATATTTTTGGCTGATTAACTCCAGTTATATTTCTAACTTGTTAATGCATGTTAAATGTATTTTGGAATGTACATGACATTTTCAGTTAGCGACATTAATGAACTTTCAATAACATTCGAAAAAGTACATCAACAATCGTACAGTATGCAGAAAAACAGATTTTTTTTCTCTGTTTAAAATTTTGCTAGAATTTTTAATGTATGTTCAAAAAAATACATTAAAATTCAAGTTATAAATAGCCATTGCAAAATTTCAAACTAATAAGTTTTAGTAGGAAAGGAACCCTAAATGTACTGTCATATCCATACGTATAAATAAAATTGAAGTGTCTGTTTGTAATATTGAAATAACCGTTTTATAGTACATGCATATGTACATTCAACAAAATAACATGTTTTACAATTTTTGTCTGTCTGTTTGTTCCGGCTAATCTCTGAAATAGCTGGACCGCTTTTGGCGGGACTATATTTGGCAGATAGCTAATGTAATAAGGAGTAACTTGGCTACTTTTATTTTAGAACAATAAAGTTGAATTCAACGCGGACAAAGACGCGGGCATAGCTAGTAAAATATAAATCTACGAATCCGACAATACAATTTTTTAAGTCACGCATTACTCTCAAATGGTATTTACCAAAAGTATACAAAAAATATTACCTACAGTTGATGTGACCTGGGATTTACGTCAAAGAAACGTGTCATTGTTTTACCAAAAGAATAATAAAAAATAATATTAACATAAAAAGTGTTATTACAAAAATTCTTTTTCTTCATTCGTATTTTTGTAATAACACTATTACCTGCTGCTTTTCACGTTTGCTAAGAAATAATAAATATTATTTATTTATTTACTTGCTATATGGTACAGTATTGGATTATACAAAATATTTTAAGTACATGCCATGCAGCACCCCGTAGTGGTGTGCAAATAGTGAAAATGACATCATAATTAATTCAATATAAAATTATATCATTACATTTCTAAATATCACTTTACTACAAATACTCACAAAATACATGCATTTTAATAATAATACTAATAATAATCTCAGGACAATTCACACAGCGCCATCTAGTCCCAAGTTAAGCTAGCTAAAGCTTGTGTTATGAGCACGAGATAACTGATAGAAATATATAGATAACATCCAGACCGATACAAACAATCATACTCATGAGTACAGTTTGTGCCGTGCGAGAATTCGAACTCGCGACTATCGGAAGTAAGGCGGTGTGTTAACCCGTTAGACCACCCAGGCCGTCATTTAATATTTATATTAATTAATTAAAAATTATAATGAAGATAATAATAAAAGTAGCCTAAGTTACTCCTTATTACATTAGCCACCTGCCAAAAAAAGTCCCGTCACAATCGGTCCAGCCATTTCAAAGGACATGGACAGGAACAAACAAACAGACAGTCAGACAGACAAAAATTGTAAAAAATGTTATTTTGTTGTATGTACCGTATTTATGTTCAAATGCATGTAATATAAAATGGTTATTTCAATATTATAAACAGACACTCCAATTTTATTTATATGTATAGATAACAATTTATAGATAGACAAATATATATTTGTCCTCCATTTTGCATATAAAATAATCTTTCAATGAATAAAAACATTTATTTATCAGCCATTTCATTAGTTTGTCTTTGAACCATTTTAAACAGAGATTTGTAATTTATTATGGATATTTATATAGAAAAAACCTTTTAAGTTTTTATCTAAGCTATACAATTAAAAATTAAGTTCATTTCTTAGCAAATGGATCTTCGTACGTATGAAATTACAGGATAAGAGACATGACATTTTAGTCCTCCATTAGCAAAGTATAAGTGGTATCACGGTTGTCACATGATAACGTGATGTCCGTAGTACAGTCCATGTATTAAGGCAACGATAGGTTATTATAACGCTTTGACTATAGATAGATAGAAATAGAATAGAGATAATTAATTCTTTTTGGGAGATTTATATTTTATGAACTAATAAGTTGAAGCAAGTTATCACTTCATTAGTACCACCTGTAACCCTTCTTTTCTCGTTTTAGTAGCTAATGTTATATTATTTAAATATATATATCCTGGGAGAAAGGCAGTGTTAGGAATGTGGATTAATATCTCCATTGCTAGCCATGTACCATGTCAGTTTAACCACCACGCGGTTCCCCCTAGATACCATCATGATAAATTCCTAGTAAATTTGTCAGGATGGGCTAACTGTCCTGACTTCATATCATCTTATCATACTCCACTGGTGCCCCGCCAGCGTAAACTGATAGCGCAAGCGAGTGCACCATACCATTATCATCCCTTGAAAAAAAATATCTACATCTTACTTACATTGGAAATGGGTCGTTGACAAAATTTTGAACATCCACCAACCAAACATTATAGCCCAACGTTCTGTAACTGCTCTCAATAATTCTGGATGGTGGGAAATCTGCATGGTCGAAGTAACCACTTATGAATAGTATGGTCTTCCTAGCGTAGTCCATGGTGGGATCGTGTGCCATGTCTCTCGATTGGTGGTAAGAGTACTTCTTTCTTACCGAGCGTTTTGTTGCTTTGTATCCAATGACTTTCAAGCGGATTTTTTTCAATGTTTCCTTCGTGATTAATAAAGGGTTGTCTCTGCCAGGACCTGTAAATAAGAGTATGACTGTTATCAAATCTGGGATATATTTTATCGAATCAAGCAATTTTGCGGGAGTCTATTTCATTATTTATATTATTTTGTTTATTTCTACTACCGCATGCTAAGGCATGTGTGAGATCATAAATATTTTGGGCGGAAGTCTGACCACCGGAAGCGTTACAACCTTCTCTATTGGTGCTCAAATTCCGATCGTTATTGAATCTACGCCCAAACAGCGACAGTTTGGTTACCAAATAGTCTCTATATATTCCCTAATGATGCTATATTCTAATTCAAATTCAAATATCTTTATTCATGTAGGTCTATTATAAACACTTATGTCAAATCTACCGTGAGTTCGGAGTGATTTCGGCTGAGTTGAAAGGCGAAATACTTGTCGCGGTATAGCTATAGATTCAAAAAAGGTCGGAATTTGATCACCAATAGAGAAAGGCTCGTCTAGCGGTGGTCAGATTTCCACACTATATAATTGTGATCTCATACACACAATGGTAGCGGAATTAAACAAAATAATATAAATTTAATAAGCCATCTGGGATAGTCAAAAATCGACATTTGATTTGCGAACTGAGTCTATTTGAATGACTTTGACAGGGGGAAGGTAATCATTAGCAACAAGGCATTATGAGCTTATTGTTGGAAATATATTAGGTGTAACGCAGTCACTCCTGGAGACCATTGTGTTTACTTCCTGAACCACCTTCAGTAGGGTTTATTAAATTTAATACATGTATATAGGTTACCTCTGTCGTATGCTTTGTTCAGCTCTGTGAAATCGTGGATCGCTAGTAACTTTACGTAGTATAAAACAAAGTCGCAACAGATTGTATGCTGTTCAGCAATATATAGTGATGCAAGATGAAGATTTATATGTAATACATGCATCTTATAGTGTAGAACAAGCCGAGAAATTCAAAGATTTGTAATGCATCCATGCGAAGTTGGGAGGGGTCGCTAGTGTAGTATATAAAATAGTCTATTGTCACTTACACTCTGAGAGAAATCCAGAATTGTATGATTTCACTGAATTTGTATCATTTATTGGTACATTTGTCACCAAGCCAAATAGGATTGGCGCGCAAAGCAAGTACAATACAGACAACATTATTTTATTTATACTGGACGATTTAAATTTAACTTTTTATTTATTTTTTAATAACTTAATATGGACGTCCCACATGCGTTGGATTTTTTACTAATCTAATATTTTTTTGAAACGGATATACATATATTTCATTTGAATAAATAGAATTCATAGAATCTTGTACTACATTCCCGTCAAGTGACCTTACAAGTTTATGTTACCGAACAAGTTACAAGTAAGTAAAAATGATCAAGTCATGTTAATTTTTACATGGCAATGAAAAATTTCCGAAAAGAAGAACGAAATCATGTAAGTAAGGAATATTTCAGTTATAAGGTAATTCCTTCTATGACTGTATATAATTAATAAAATTCCTTTTCTGACTGTATATATTGGATAATTATCACATTTTCACTAATTGAGCTAGCTAGTGAAAACACTGTAATTTTCTTTTATTGACTCAAAGTGACAAACCATCTAGCAGTTTATTTGATGACGAATGATTAGCTCTTTTCTTCTTAATATAGTATAATGGTATGGTGCACCAATATGGGCTCACGGAATTCTAGTGGAAAGTAGGTCAATTAGCCCATCATCATTTAATATCTAGGAACCCATGATGATGGGTTCCTGGTTTATGCATTACCAGATATTTACTTTTTTAGAGTTAGTAAACCTACTATTATGTAATAGTCATTGTCGCCTTTATGGTAATTTTTTGTCAAGCCCATGTACTTGTAATACTAGGGCAATATAAGTGTTACTGAATATTAGGACGTAGGTAGGTTCAGGAGATAAAGTTTAAGAAAAGAGAGAGCAGATTGCATATCTAGATTTTCACAGCATGCGAAATGTCCATAGCCCAAACCATGAGCTTCATAATTGCTATAAAACCGATAGTTTTAGCTCATCAATACATACACTATGAATACACTAACATCGCTAGAAGAAACAGGTTTCTTACCGAGGTAGACTTTGAAAAAGTAGTCTGCGTGGGTACTTTAGTATTTTCAGGTATGTAGATTTCAGGTTGGCTTGGTTTATTTCAGTTGATGATAAGGCATTGAAATTACAGGATCAGAGTCATGGTATCTTAGTGCTCTAGATCGACAACGCTTGAGTCGTAAAACGCGTGTAACTTGATAACGCAACGGTTACCATTTCTATGTCTGTGGACCTTCGATATGTTTGCTTTTCAGTCATTATTTTACGATTTTAAGTCACTGGAACGGCAGACGAGCTAATGATTATATCTGTTTATGCAATATGTACAAATTGTAAATAACTTCAAAATTGTTTTTTTAAGTTAAGTAACTACCAAATAAGTTCTAACAAGTTTTTTCCCCAACCCCTAAAGGAGTTATTCATTAACTTCTAATGGGATCGCATATTTAATGTGCAGCCAAGGTATTTAAAATATGTACCAAGGCATAACAAAATTTAATTATAACAATGCACTAAATTGAATAAATTAAAGTTGTTAAATAAAGAACGTGATGGAATTTCTAATTACGTATTTAATTTAGACTTAATAATATATGCCATAAGGTACATTTTCACACAATAAAAGATTTAAGACAAAAGCTATAGTGTGATAAACATAACTAGGTAAAGGAATAATATTAGAACTACTTGTTTTAATATTGTTCCTTTACCATTACATAATCGTTTATAAGTACAGAGTTTTATAGCAAGAATGCATAATACATTATTGTTATTCAAAATAAAAAAAAACAATAACCTTTATAACAGCTACGATGTGGGATTAAATAGAAATAATCTACCAAATTGTTTACTAATTTAACATTTCTTATTAGATTTAAATGAAATAAAAATCAAAATATTAAAAAAGTAAACAAGATAAATGTAGTATTAAGAAATTCTTATTAAAGGTTGTTCCCAAATTTAGGACTTTGTAGCAGGTTTACACGAAAGTATATATTTTATTCACAATAAATACAACTACAATTAGAAAATACAAAAGCAAAAACGTAAAAATATGTAATAATTAAAGAAATAATGTAATGTAAATTTTAAGCAAAACAAAATTTTAGTTTATTGACGTTAAGAATTATATTAAAAACTATATCACAAAATATAACTATTGCATATCAATATAATATAAAAATCTGTTTACATAAAATCTTGCCTAAATATACAGAAAATAATATGTTTTAAAGTAGCAAGTATTCGGGATTTATATTCCTTTATCACTCTAGGGAATGATAGAAAAAACTGACAGTCTACCTGTAAGAAAGTGATTGAAGTCGGGTGGAATATCTTATTACTGTACATCACTCAGTTTTTAAACTACTAATGGAAAGAGAGGAGCGAATTCATGGTAATTTGTTCGCTATAGAGGCGCCATAACGCACAAATTACCATGATTTAAATTATTTTAATGAATGAATACAGAAATTATTGTAACTTAGCATAAAAATCACTTATGCATTATATAAACTAGATGTTTATCGTATTAATATTATTTATAAGCTTATTTATGTACCAATACAGTGAAGGAAAGGCACATAATCAACTAGATTTCTATAAAAAGGGCCTTCCCAACTGAACTTGGTATGTTGATTTCAGTATTACAATAAGTTCTACGTAAACTGAACTATTCAGGCAAGAATCAAATCAGACCGATTTACTTTAAAAATATTAAATTCTATCTAGTTATTACTTAAAACTAATGATTTATTTAAAACTACATACAGAACTTCATACTACAATAACATCCCGTTTATTAGATTCACCTAATATACTAGCAACAGGTTCATTTTCCCTCTTCAATCCCTTCTCACCCATATAGTATGGATAATTATAAGTTGTCGCTAAATAAAATATACCATGTTTCGTCTTATCCACTTTGGGACCGAGCACATTAGTAACTAATGGTTGTTCATCATAACAATTCTTGTCCCTAATCTTCTGCATAGAATTACATTGCATCGCGATGAAAGAATCTTGATTCCGTAGCGCTGAATACCAAATCATAAACACCTTGACATGGCTACAGAACATTTCACAGGGCACCCAGTAGAAATCAGATAGTTGATATTCTCCTCCGTTGATGTAAAAATTAACATGGGCGACTGGTGTAGCTAAACCTAATCCATCTATGTTAGTACCTATTAGTTCTACATAATCAGCGTCAGTTTTGTCTAATCTATGTTCTGGCCCAAGATTTCTGAAACAAGGTCCTGATGGATCCAAAGCCGTAATTCTGCTAATTTTTACACCTGATAACGCTTTGTAATACTTGGCTATAAAGCTAATAGCTTCTCCTCCAAGACTTAAACCCAACAGTTCAAGTTTCTTAGGATCAAACCCTACATTATGAAGAGTCAAATTGTACAACATTTCAGCAGTATGTTTCCCAATAGCTGGAAGATTCCGAGTCACCCTGAAACAAAAATATTAGAAATTAGTAAAATTTATCATTAGTTTATTTACAAGTAGTTTAAAATAAGTCGTAAAAGAATGTGCGGCTATTTGATTTTTAAGCATGTAAGGTTTGGACATATATTTGGAAATAGAATATTATTTGAGCACACTTTTCAAGTTAAATCTGAGCATAACTGTGATACTTGCACAAGTCCTGTAATAAGTAATATGAGCGTAAATGTTTAGAAAATATGTCTATCAGGAACATATTTAAGAAAGGTATTTCAGCTTGATCTTGTTGTGACAAAACTTAAAAGTAAATTGATTATTCCTAATGCTACGCTAATAGACTAAGCTATTCTAAATTGGCACCATTGCTTTAATGGTGCCAATTTAGAATAGCTTAGTCAGTCAAGTCAAAAACAGATTCAAGAAATTATATGGTCATTGAAATACTTACGATGGATATTCATGCTCAACAAATTTGTGCATATCTAACAACCAAACGTTATAACCCATTGTTCTGTATGTGTATTCCAAGATTCTAGAAGCTACAAAATCTGGATTGTCAAAATATCCAGATACAAAAAGTAATGTTGTTCGATTGTAGTCCATTGTGGGATCCTTCGCCATCTCGTTCACTTGGAAATACGAGTACTTCCTTCTTATCCAACCCGATTTGGTGTTAGCTCCAATGACTTTGATGCGTAGTTTTCTCAAACTTTCCTTTGTCATCACTACAGGTTTTTCGCTACCAGGACCTGTGAATAAAGTAATAAAATACTATACATTAAAAATTCTTACACATGATACTGTTACTATCTTATAACCCTTATTATTATATATTTAGCACCCCGCATAAACAGATGCACATTTTGTGTTTTATTATATTCTAGCGACCCGTTTAGGACTTCGTACATGTGCATTATGATATTTATGATCTATAATTTAGATTTTTATATTAATCTCTTTTTTCTTTATGTCTTTAGGATATTTATATACTAAGTCAATAAATTAGTTATATACTAGTTGAGTATAACATATGAACATAAAGTACATTAATTCAAATATCTATTTTTAGTAACTAACTACGTATTGTATAATGTAATAATTTCCAACGCCCTACCAAGGTTCAGAACTTGATATATTATATAACATATTTTGTAAATTCTTGATGCAATACATAAACATACAATCATAAACGTTCATTATAATGATGATATTCTAAAAATTGTATTCCAAGTCTATTGCTTTTTCTGCTTAAATTTAAAAAATTGAAAAGTTTTAATTATTATAAATGTATTGAAATCGAAAATAGTGTGAAGAACACTCTTAACCACAAAGCAAATAAAGTATGACGAAATGGACAATTAAACTAACTATATATTAATTCAAGGTCCTTTTTTTGCAATTTAAGAACTTCTCACTAAATATTCATCCTGTAAAAAAAATTACAGAATTGTTATTTGCAAATTCTGCATAATGTATATTTAGTAGAAACAATGTGTAGGGTGATTACATGCCTCCAGAATTTTATTTTGTTTTTTAATAAAATGTGTCATTTTATTGTCTGCTTGCAAGTTCTTTGAGCCCCACAATTTATTTTATTTTCATCTAGCGTTATCAGATTCACATTGTACTTGAGTAAATGTGGACCTAATAATACTACATGAAGTTTAATTTTTAGTATTTTCCTTATCTTACATTTTATTGTTTTATTTTTTGGTATTAGACCAAGTAAAATGGAGTGGATTAAAGTTATTGTTTTTAAAATCTATATATTATTATATAAGTATATATTTATATACCTACTATAAAGATTGAATGGGTCACTGGCTATGATGGCTATGAAATAGTAATAAATTTAAATTCGTTTTCTTCTATAATTTTTATAATTAATAGAACATTTCTTATTTTTCAGATCTTGAGGGATCGAATATTCCGTACTTAAATGAATTTATTAATATTCAATATGCTGAATTAATTACTTTTAGAATCAATGTCTATTTATTTGCAGTCATGACGACAAACTTTCGTGATATTGTAGAATTTTGCAAGTATTAGATCAATTACATATTTCTGATAATTTTTTCATCAAGCAGCAATCAATCGCTTGATGAAAAAATGAAATAAATAACCCCTGTACTTTTCGAAATTGGAGAGAAATCCCAGAGGCCTTTGTCTATTGAGTAGACAAACTATCTAAAGAAATATGAGTTGTTGCAAAGGCTTCCTGATTCATGTAATTTTACTAAACAGTAGAAAAATATAAAAGTTATTAAAGTGGGTACAAAATAGATTCGCGCGAGCAATGCCGCGTGAAAAAGTTGGTTATAAATATGTAAGAGTTTTTACTTACAGTCGGAAATAAAGCCAGACACGTATCCAGCCACAGATCTCGGATGCTCTTCTGCCACAGAAATCACAATGCTAAGTAGAATTGGCGCGAAAAACAAATAAATCACTGACACCATTTTGTTTTCAATTCTATTATTTTTGAATTTCGAATCAAAAGCGTTCTTGATATTAATTAAATGGTTCAATATATTCTCGGACACAACACAAATTTGTTATTTTTTAATCCGTTTGGATTTATGTGATCTCGACTTGTACAATTCGTGGAATGAGCTGAAATAAAAAATTAAATTTAAATGATTTGTAATCGACGTGCCCGTGTCGTATTGTTGATCGAAGTACCTACTTGAACTTATGGGCTTCTTTTGTTATTTTTATACATAATATTTTGGCTTTGTACTGATTGGCGACGTCATAATTATTTTATTGTTTAATTATTAAATTGTTCATTCGAATAATTTATTTATTATAAAGGAGCATGTATACTTGTTTTACGTACGGTACGAATTGTCGGCATTTTGTAAATTGTAATTTGTACAAATGTATGTTCTCCTTTATTTACTCAAATTATTCGATCTATCTTAAATGTCAAATCTAATTTATACACAAATGTCAATACTTTTGACATTAATTAGAGTAGTGATATTAGAAGGTAATATAATTTTTGTTTCATCATTGCATATATGAAACTCATTCGCAATACTGAACTTACAAATTTGGACCATAGTAATTTTCCACTCTAATAAGAGAATAAAATATTTTATTTCAATAAAATGACTACCTAAAACCTAAACTATTTAAATTTTTATATGTCCAACAATGTTCTAAGTTTGTCTGCCTTTTTGGTATTTGTCGACTAGATGCGTTAATCAATTCTACATCGATTACGATGATTGTTTATGCAATAACATATAAAATGGCATGTGTGCCTTACTTATTTCTTTGTGTGCTGTATAGTTTTTGTACTACTATATTTCATATAATGATTATAATAACATAAATATTATCATATATAGTTTTATTTTACGCTACGGTTAATAACAAACTTAATTACCTCAAATAAGCAAATTTTGGAAAATCGACTTTAAACTTAAAACCATTGAAGTCCAATTCTCTAAATTTGTAACTTTGGACTTAATACATTTTAGTATTCTCCGTGCTATATGTAGGATTACTGTCATGTATCTCTTAAAATTATTACTTGAAATTGCCTCCGATCGATCCCTCGACTAATTCAAACGAGGATCGAAATTATGACGGCCTGATCCGAGGTTCGAACCCCTAGTTGTGTCCTGAGACTAAAGTCGTATACGTCTGGCGGGTATTGGCCTTCAGCCGCTTCATAAGTCCTTCCGCGGGTTAGAAGTGCCATCTGCACTCGCCCCCTATCATCTGGTGAAACTGTAAAGGCCAACAGTGACCAATAGCACCAATAGAGTCGTCCGAAAAAAAAACTTAAACTTAAAATTACATCTTTATTGTACAACACCTTTAATAACTGTGAATATGTTTACATTATTAAATCTATAAACAGATTCGAAATTTGATATAAGTAGTACATATAAATAATGCATGTTTTGAAATAAATAAACATACGCAGATAAATCCGCGGGTACAACTAATACTTTCAGAAAATTGAGAATGATAGTATCAATGGTATATAATAGTTCTGTTATGCCAAGTCAAAAGCCAAGAAGCTAAGTTACTACCGCTTGGTGCTTGAATGACACATCAAGGAGACCAAAGGACAAAATTCCATTAAAAAAATAACTAATTACTATTCTCATATGCGAAGAAACTCGCAAGTTACAAGTAGTAAAGAATAATCACTTAGAATTATATGCAAAAAAATATTCGAATATTATTTTAATTCTTTGACGTCAAAATATTAAAAAATAGACGAATAAGTATTGACGGTCGAACAATGCAAATCTACGTAACAATAAACAAAAACGTCAATGTCAAAAAGTATAAAATACAATAGATTATATAAGATTTGTGTACTGACGAAATATTATTATTCAATATCCGACATATTGTCGATTTAAAAAATAACAACACAAAAACGTCTAGCCATAAATCCTAAAAAAATATCTACACACCTTCTAAGACATAGTCTATTATTTGTTTGAAACTTGAATGGCAAACAAGTTGACAGTAAATTAAATCAAATCAAGTCAAATCGAAATTTTTATTCATGTAGTACATTTTAGCCACTTACGAAAGTCAAGATTTTTGTACTAATATTTTTTCCCTACCATCCAGTTCAGTATACAGATTCTATTGAAAAGAGCTGACTAGAAACTCAACTGAATTTCTTTTATTTTAAAAGCCAGTTTATTTATATGATCTTAATAATATTATAAACGCAATAGTTTGTGAGTATGAATGAATGTTTGTTACTCTTTCACTCAAAAACTACCAAACGGATTTGGATGTAACTTTAAAGTGATATAGCTTACACATCAGAATAACACATAGGCTATAATTTACAAATATATTATGTAAATTGGGCGAAATAAATGTCAAGTATGTGTGACGCAGACGAAGTTGCGCGAGTCAGCTAGTCGTGTAGCTACTCATGTAGGTGTCTATGTCTAACATTAAATGAAAATCCCGTTCATGAACAACTATTGCCATTTACGTGGTATACCACGTGTAGGTGACAATTGCCACTTACCATCAGGTATACCTGATGGTAGGTGACAATTGCCACTTACCATCAGGTATACCTGATGGTAAGTGGCAATTGTCACCTACATACATGAACTGCACCACATCGCCTATATACATGTCACGTGACGCCTCTCACATCAAGCTATCTCACTGCTCAATTGCTTGGTTTCAGAGAGACAAGAGATCTATATTTTCTCGATAGCATTCATAAGTTTATTGAGTACTAGAATTACACCCACATGAAATTTATAGCATGTGTTATTCTGATGTACAAGCTACATCAGAGTAAAGTTTTAACAAAATCTGTTCAGTAGTTTTTGCATGAAAAAGTAACAAACATCCATCTTATAGTCACAAACTTTTGCGTATATAATATTAGTCATCATCATCATTGCCTTGTCTTTATCCCATTATTTGGGGTCGGCGCAGTATGTCATTCTCTTCCACTGCTCTCTGTCGGTCGTCATATCGAATATGATAATACGTTTATAATATTAGTAAGTTTGTTTATTGTTTGTTATGTAATTACGCTATTTGTTATTAAATTATGTCATTGGCTTATTATACGCTTTGGATTAACTGTAAGTATGATGAGAAAATCTTAAATAAATAACCAATATGTATTTGCAGGTGACGAGACACTGATATTTGTATAAAAAAATGTTAATACTGTAACCCATGTAGTTAAAGGCGAAGAAACGAAGGGGCTGCGAGAGACTACAAAAGTATGAGATTGATCGTACGCCGCATATTCAGTCATTCTCCTTCCGGCTACGTATTTGAGAGGAGATCGGTCTCCGATAGACTTACATTGAACACACTTACAGACTTACAGCAAAATTACAGTAAAGTACAAGGTTTACAGTAAAGTTTGTGTAAAATCAGTCTGCGGCCCCATATATAGTAGTCTGTAGTGGGTTCGATTCCATGCACGGTACAAACATTTGTATTGCTGAGTATGATTGTTTATTTCAGTCTAGGTGTTCTCTATATATGTATTTACAAAATAAATGCATCTTTGTACTCATATCAGTTGTCTAGAACCAATAAGACAAGCTCTGCTAAATATGGAACTAGATGGCGATGTGTAAAATGTCCACAGATATTATTGTTATTGTATACAAACAAAATACCTATACTGTTAACTTTTTTTCCGAACTACTGTAGTGCTCTTGGTCGCAGCTGGCCTTTACAGCTTCACTGGACGATAGGGTAGCCCCCTATGTGTAGGTGGCACTCCAAACCCGTAGAAATTATGGAACGGCTGAAGCCCAACACCCGCCTGATGGATACGATTTTAGTCTGAGTGTACTGCTAGAGTTTCAATTTGACCCAAGCCTCCGTAATTTCGATCCCCGTTTACATTGGACAGGAGTTCGATCGAAGAAACTTAACATTTATTCTATGGCTTTGTCCGTTTGTGTTTTTGCGGGTTTCAGATAAATATTAGGCACGATACTTTAGTCTCAATAAAAAGGTTTGGCAACGCACGAAGAGTATCATTCTGCAATAGATCCAAAAAAAATATTACAGCATAGTTGCACTGAGTAATTATACGGCCTATCGAACTACACATGCTGTGATGACCATAATATACATAAAGCGAGCATAATAAAATTGACTTTACCGTACTACACATTGGAGATAATCACATTTGTTCGTAAAAATGTATCGTATTTTAATTTTAAAACTAATATAACAGACTTAAGCCAACTAACTAACTGTGGTCGCTAACTATGGGCCCCATCAACAAGCTCAGAGTCGCTCAGAGTCACTCAGAGGGCAATGGAGAGGGCTATGCTCGGAGTTACTCTGCGTGATCAAATCAGAAATGAGGAGATCCGCAGAAGAACCAGAGTGACCGACATAGCCCGAAGAATTGCGACTTTGAAGTGGCAATGGGCAGGGCACATAGCTCGTAGGACGGATGGCCGTTGGGGCAGTAAAGTCCTCGAATGGCGACCACGGACCGGAAGACGCAGCGTGGGAAGGCCTCCAGCAAGGTGGACCGACGATCTGGTCAAGATCGCTGGAAGGCATTGGATGCGAGCAGCGCAGGACCGATCGTCGTGGAGATCTTTGGGGCAGGCCTATGTTCAGCAGTGGACGTCTTCCGGGCTGCGATGATGATGATGATGATGAAGCCAACTAACACTCTTAAAACCCAAAATAGATATGTTTATGTTAAGTATCTACTACTGATCAACTTTAGTATATAACAAAACCCCCAAAAGCACAAAACGAGAAGAAGTTATTTAAAAATGACTTATAGAATTATTCCCTATAAAGATTTGTTATATTGTAAAAGAATTTTTAGAATAAGTACTGTACGAGCTAAGCAGATGCTACAGCAGACTTAAATTTCATTTAGTCGTAACAAATTGACAGACGTTCGGACGCTTATGGCTACTTTAAAATATGGAAGACTCATCTACGAAATTTCTACACTCTTTAAGCATCGTTATTTCATATGTTTAATGTGTATTGTTAATTTATTATGTTGTAAATTTATTGTATATACATGTGCAATTTTAAATAAAACACCTGCATAGAGTCAACATTTGAATTTCTCTTACCATGCACTCAGTTTCTTTATTTGAAATCAATTGTTTATCGAAAATTTACTTACTAAATATTTTTTTTGTCCTTCCGCCAGCGGTTCAATAACCAGCGTCACAATATAGTTTCAAAAACGGTGATAGTTGCCACTTTCCACCATCAACTTGTTCATGGCTGCAGTAACATAAATATATTGTAACATTCAACATATACATGAACTGGAAAAACTCACTTTTTTATATGTAATACAATCAAAAACACTTTCATATAAGTATTAAAATATAAGGAATATGGTCAAGCCTCGCATGGCAAATGAATAGTAAAAAGTTTAGTGATTCACACGCAAATATGGTGTTTTTTTTTAATTTATTACTGAAGCGCAAATTTATCTGTTCTTAGCAATTGTACACACAATTGACATATTTAAATTAGGAGACTAAATTGTAAATTTATAATTATATTCTGATACTTGTTACTTACACAAAAATTAAATATTACTTTAAAATTTGATATAAATAGATATTCACATTAAATTAATGTAATATTGTCAGTATGTACAAAAAAATATGAAATAACCCAGAACAATTCACACAGCGCACTCTAGTCCTAACGGAAGCATGGCTTGTGTTATGGGTACTAAACAACTAATAGAAATATTTTGGATGTACATGGAAACACCCAGTCATGAATATTGTCTGTATATGGCGTGGAATCGAACCCGCGAACATCGGCAGTAATGCGGTATGCTAATCCACGAGATCACCGGGGCCGTCGTATTATAAATGTAGAGTTTTTGCAAATATTTGTCCATGTTAGTTGCTACGATTTAAGATTATCCTCAAATAGGGAACATAAAACATTATCTACATTCATAAGTAAAATTATTTCCTTTCCTGTACGGAAAATTATATTTTAAAATTTATTTCAAACGATATATAAAACACTAATCTTTGCACGTGCTTCCGCTTTCTGGAAACACAAACATACTAACTGACTGCATTAAAAAAATAACTTACGAAATAATTATCAGGTCTCCAATTACATATCGCCCAAGAAATAAAGTGGAAGTTTGAAAACAGTTTTTAAAACCTGCTCTGTTCTGTGATCAATTAGATATGTAATATTGACAATTAATTTTTTAAATTTCAACATTGTTTCTTGGAGGGTTTAGTTACATTAGTACCTATATTACCTGGTTTCTCTTTATGCCATATAAAATAACTACCAAATATTGCCTTCATTTGTTTTCATAATTACTGTTACTCTATTATTATTACTAATCATTGAATTAAAACAAAATGGCGCCTATTTTCATTGTATATTTTTCTTTTTGCTTAGCTCCTAGTCGTGCTTTTTAGTAATCGATAAGTCCTAAAGTAGAGGTCTAAACATATTTTTATAGCCAATTAGTAGTTACAAAGATTAGTGCTTTCAAATAAATAACTAAACTATTTTATTTAATATAGATTTTTTGTAGACCTTATTTACATCATTCAGATATTACAGTTTATAGACCTATATGCCTATAATGCTCCGTTATAGTAATTTATAGTATAATACACTATTGACAACCCCAATATAATAAGTATAATTAGTTCTTAGATATATAATTGTGTCCATGTATAAACTTATTTATAATTATAAGATGTGTTATCTACACTTATTGTAAACGGCGAATTTTGTGAGTTTTAATGTTCGGTGTAATCAACGGTACCGGTTATCAATTTTGAAAATTCTTCCGTTATGTGTCGTATTTATCAAGGAAGGCTCTAAGCTAAATAACACTACAACTAATAGAAGCGAGGCTGCAATGAAACATTTTTCAAAAACGGGGAAATATGACGCAAACAAAGTGGCGCTGGTCGGCTAGTTTGAGATAAAAGCATAATCTCTCTACGTAAGAGGAGAATTTTAGTCTACTATCACACTAGTGACTTGATATAGGATTATATTTCAAATTTCTCCTACTCTAAACTGATATACGTAGTTATCGTGATCACTTTTTATTATATCGTAACCAAAAAAAATGTATGGATTATTAAATATTACATTTCAATTTGAGACTCCAACCATTTATTTTTTAAATTTTTTTTCATTATTTTATTAAACAAACATTTCTTCTAACCTTCTGTGGCCATTAAGATGCTATATGTTTAGTATTGTTTAGGGTAAATGAAAGAAAAATGAAACATCAAACGGTTTGATATATTTTTTATTGTATAAAAAAAAGTGGCAACACTTATTATTTACAAATCTCTTAAAGATAAATTCAGGAAGAGGAGAGCACTCAGGGAAAGGAATTCTGGAGAATTAAAATATGGTTGGTAGTTAATTATTATTTTTTATAATATTACACATACTATTAGAAATATCAAAAGGTATCCCTCAATGATATTCTTGAAGTATTTGTAGAAGATTATTAAACAGCACTACATATTAATCACATGGGGGGAAAGTATGAGATTAGGAGAACACCGAACAACGCAAAGTAACATGTATGAAATGATATTGAATTAGAAGTAGATGGTGTATAATTTTATTAAGAATTAAAGTAGATGGTACAAAAATCAATAAAGAAATATATCCTTCATAGAAACTCAGAAAAATTTTGACATATTGATTGCTTGTACTATTTATTCTACTTAGTTATCTATAGATAGCCGTTCAATTTCACAAATCTCTTTTCAAAAATTGATCGATGAAGTTTTATTACTGTTTCACGTTAATACTTCTTGACTGATTCTAATGAAGTTTCGTGCACAGATATATATTTTAGATTAAAACCTAATACATTTTACTCAATTTCTTAAGGGCCACACCTCCAACTGCTGTACTTACAATATTTTCAGACCTTCTGGATTCAGTGACTTTAAATCATTATAAATTGGTTCATATTTCCTCTTCACACCTTTTTCACCCATATAATAAGGATAAGTGTGAGTTGTCGCTAGATAGAATAGGCCGTGTTTCGTCTTATCAACATTGGGACCGAGTAAATTTGTAACTAAAGGTTTTCTGCTATAACAATCCTTGTCTCTCGCCTGCTGTACCGAATCACATTGCAACGCTATAAACGAATTTCGATTCTGCAATGCTGAGTACCATAAAGTAAAGGATCTCATATGGCTACAAATCATTTCGCAGGGCACGAAGAAAACATCGTGAGCTTGATGTTCTCCTCCATTAACGTAGAAATTTACATGACCTAATGGTTCTGCGATTCCATACCCATCTATATTAGTTCCTACAGTTTCTACAAAATCAGCATCTTCTTTGTCTAATCTATGTTCAGGTCCTAAATTCCTAAAGCAAGCACCTATTGGGTCTAAACCGGTGAGTCTGCCAATTTTAATGCCCGATAGTTCTTTATAAGATTTGGCTATAAAACTCATGGTCTGTGCGCCAAGACTCAAGCCCAATATCTCTAATTTCTTGGGGTCGAATCCAACGTTTAGGCGAGTCAAGTTGTATAACATTTCACCAACGTGCTTCCCAACAGCTGGTGCTACTCTAGCGACTCTGAAATGAAAAATCTACTATTATTATTAGGGTTTTATTAATAAACAATGTTACATGGACTCTTACTTATGACTATTTATATATTTTGGATTCTACCACTCATTCGGAACGCAAACTCATCTCAAGAAGAACGAATAACTAGTGTGATGCTCTTATCAAAAATTTTGTCAACAATACATTTTTAAGATTTTGTTTGAATTAAATTTGTCAAATAGCAAAATTGACATACATATTACAGCGCAGCTACTCCATAAAGTGTGATTATTAGCAGATCTATGAAACAAACATAGCAATAATAATACTAGGCAGGTATTTCGCTAATCCTTCGCAACTGAAGAATTACCTGAACTAAAAATTGAGATTGAAATCATCAACGCGACGATTGGCTGGTGCTATGCCATCAGGCAATAATTCCGCCATATATACAATTTTGTGTGCAATAGAATAAATAAATAAATTATTACTACATTAATTTATACTCACACAGTGTACTCCATGGTCACAAATTTATACATATCCAGCAACCAAACGTTGTAACCTAAATTTCTGTAACAGGTCTCTAAAATTCTTGCTGTAGGGAAGTTGGGGTTGTCTTGATATCCAGAGACAAATAGTACGGTCTTCCGACTATAGTTCATGGTAGGGTCTCGGGCCATAGATTTCATTTGGTAGTATGAATAAGTCTTCCGGGCCGACGTGGCCGTTGCTTTGGCTCCTATAACTTTAATACCGAGGTAATTCAAACTCTCCTTTGATATGATTGCTGGCTTAGTGGATCCAGGACCTGTGATCAGTAAATTTTCATTTATAAATAAAAACTTCAATTTTCAGATTCAAATATTAGAAACTATAGAAACGATTTTTATACGTGTTACAACAGACTGTGTTTAAGTGTATTCGTTAAGATTTTATGTACTTACATAAAACCTTACGAAACCGGGACGGGCCTACTACTCCTAAATTCTAAATAGATAAAAAAGATATGTACAATCTCTTAAAAGGTTTTTTAATAACTTAAACGGGAAAGAAATGTTCGAGCGTACTGATGACGAGTTCCTGCATAGCACTTCAATGTGAATTAATAAAAAAATATATGTAAGATTTGAAGCATTCGGTTCTTTCTGTCTACCCTGTATAGGATCTGATCTAAAATCTATACATAAATATATTATTGTAAAAGTTTAGTTTATTTAAATAAATAAGAATATATTGTATATCGTGTTTAGAATAGTACTTATTACTACTTCTTGTAAATCGGAACAGATATTGATATTGGTATCACCTTTTTTTTTGAAAATTACATAAATACTAATTATCTCGGAATTATGTTTATCCATACTTTATCCCAAAAAAAGCAGAAAAAAGCCCATTTCAATCTCGCCTAAAATGATTAAATATTCATCTACACTTAAGTTACCAATATGTACTAATATAATATAAAACTGCCAAAATAGAAAAATGTATTTATTACTTACAATCGGAATAAAAACCAGCTGAATATCCTTCATTAATTTGTGAACGTTCTACAGTTGATACAACACCTATTAGAATTGCCGCGAAAAGTACAGACGTCAGTCGCGCCATTGTTACTTTTTTTAAATTTAGTACATTAATTTTATTTTTTATTTTTTAAGCACGCGTCGTGCACTTGCCACTTTGTCTGTTATTCTGTTTATTTCTCCAGCCAGTCTTATATTTTTACACAATTAAGAACAATGTTCAATGATGACGGATACGCGAGACAAACAGTAAATATTTTTAATGTAATCTTTAATTTTTTATTTAATATATTTACTAGTCATCTGAGTCCTATAACTTTAATGTGAACAAAGTTATATTACATATTTGCATGATGGTTTTACCTAGTTTTCTTTATGGGGAAATTAGAACCAAATTTGAATCGATTGTTTTAAAATTGTAATCCTTAAATATTGCTCATACATAACTAACGACCCACCCCGGGATCGGATGGGCGTTATGTAACTTCACAAAAATATGTCTTGAAGTTTCTCGACTTTTCTATACTACAAGACTGTAGCAGTCGCCTAGACAAGACACAAAAAGAGTATATTATATATGCGTTTATCTGTAAAATACATGTTAATCTGTGTAAGGTTTTTTTATTGATTTAATGTATTTTTTATGCACAATTTTAGAAAAATATTACCTTTCAGCACGCCTTCTCGGCTTTTCTATGCTATAATATGCATTTATTAGACATAAAAACTTTGCTCTTAAATCTAAGATTAAAAATCTAGTACATATAGAGTTAACGGGAGCGACTTTGTTTTATCTTATATATAAAATTCTCGTGTCACAGTTTTCGTTCCCATACTCCTCCGAAAAGGCTTGACCGATTCTCATGAAATTTTGTTAGCGTATTGAGTAGGTCTGAGAATCGGCCAACATCTATTTTTCATCCCCCTAAATGTTAGGGGTAGTCCAACCCTCATTTTTTTTTTTATTTTAAGGCAAAACAACGTTTGCCGGGACAGCTAGTATTATATAAAAATGTCAATGTTATTTTGTATTATTGGCTTGGTTGGTTGTTTTGGTTTTTTGGTTGGTTTTTATTATTGGCTTGATACCTATTGGCACCTTAGCGATTTATTGAATTACATGACGGACAATTTATTTATAATAAACTATTCAATACAGAAATGGCAAGTTACAGCCATTGCGTCGCCTACATACAAGAATAGCACAAACATGACGTCATCATATGACGCACGATGTACCCCATGCGCTTCCTCTTCGGAAGACTAAGATCATACTTCTGTAAGATACATTATTATACATGTCTACAACGTTGTGACTCTGACCGTCACGTATTATGTGGTATAATTTCACTAAAGCCATCTATGTTTAAAAAATTTCAGAGTTGTATATGTGTTAGCTTCAATACATAAAGAACACTCAGTTGACTAGTTTGGTACTTACATTTCAAATTTGGAACAATAGTGAGTCACGTGATGTTGGTGGCGTCACGATCATGCCGCCACCAATAGTGGTAGATATAAAGAGGCCGGGAACAAGGAAGTAGGGGGCTGATCGCTCTCTTTTCGAGGCGACCGAGAAGACCACACGTGAATGTACAGCGACGCAATTTATATGGAGTGTAATATGAAAAAAAGGAATAAAATAAAAGTACTGCTGCATCGACGTATTATTTCTGAAACTTCCCAATATAAGAGATATTTTTAAATACTATAAATCAATGGAATGCACAACTTTTATACTATACTGTGACCCTATCCGTCATGTGTTATGTGGTATAATTTCACTAAAGCGGTCTATGCTTATAAAATTTCAAAACTATATAGGAGATATTTTTAAATGCTATTAATCAATCTTTTATACATTAACAACTTTTATACAACATTAGAACCCTATCCGTCATGCGATATGTGGTATACATAATCACTAAGGCGGTCTATCCTTATAAAATTTCAGAATTTGGGATATTTTTATATACTCTAAAAACAAAGGAATGAAATACTTTTAATAAAATAATTTTACATTCTTTGCAAGTTAAAGTCGCCACTTGAAGTACCAATAAAAGTTTTTTTTTATTAGCACAGTTTTCTATATGTTGGAAAATGTATATTAATTAATAAAACATTTTTAAAAATCATCTTCCTTATTTTATTATATAATGTTTATTTAAATGCTACAAAAGCAAAATAAATTGCTAATTACATTTTTAAATAGATGTGCTATTGTTATTCAATTTAGATGTTTATTATTTTATTAATATTTTTTTTGTTATTTATTTATGGGTAATAGATGGCGTTGTATATATGCTTTATTTCTTTTCACCATTTAATGATCGGTAATAGATAGCGTTGTATAAATACTTTATTTATTTTTGCCCCTTGAATATCGTAATAGATGGCGTTGTATATATGCTTTATTTCTTTTCACCATTTGATGATCGGTAATAGATAGCGTTGTATAAATACTTTATTTATTTTTACCCCTTGAATATCGTAATAGATGGCGTTGTATAACTGGTTTAGTTATTTTTGCCATTTGATTATCAGTAATAGATGGCGTTGTATAACTGCTTTAGTTATTTTTGCCATTTGATTATCAGTAATAGATGGCGTTGTATAACTGCTTTAGTTATTTTTGCCATTTGATTATCAGTAATAGATGGCATTGTATAACTGCTTTAGTTATTTTTGCCATTTGATTATCAGTAATAGATGGCATTGTATAACTGCTTTAGTTATTTTTGCCATTTGATTATCAGTAATAGATGGCGTTATATATCTGCTTTAGTTATTTATATCATTTGATTATCGGCAATAGATGGCGTTGTATAAGTGCTATGTTTATTTTTCCATTATTCGGCATATCTCTATCATATATATATTAATATAGAGTCGATTAATGCAGTTGCAGGAGAAGTTGCTGACAGCACTAGTTGTCAAATAAATATAAGATATTAGATACTACCTATTATCCGGGGTTTCGTCTGCTTTTTTGAAATTTGAATCTTGGACGGCCTCTGTAGTCTAGCAATATAGCATCCGATTGTCGCGGGATTCTATTAAGACTTATACAGCCGATTATTTTTGAAAAGTAACAAACAACAGATTCTTACATTTATGATGTTAGTATTAATTTCTCCTAATCATCCTCTTCTTCTGTATATCTTCTTCTTTCTTCCATATAAATTGACCTATAGAAGAATGTAAAACCGAGAGTAAATGAAAGTGCTTTAGCCCGACTTAAAACGATAGATAAGTTAAATAATGGCAGATGACCAAAAAAACTCTGTATGTCAATTTATCTATCTATCTATATCATACATATCTATATTATATCTGTATCTCCTATGATGATAAAACAAACCACATTAATCCGAGAGACTTTAAAATGCATGGTACATTAAATATAAATACAAAATTAAGTAGCTTCGTCATTGACGAAGTATATGTATGTAGTAATATGTATGTATATTATTGTTTGCTTTATTTGAAATATATTTATAATATCATTTATTACCTGTTTCCTGTTTACTAATTTTCAAATTAGATAAATCATAGTCGTAATCAACTTATGTTACTTGGAAACAAGTTTGCTCAGACAATTAATAATAAAATAATGTACTGTAAAAATAAAAATTTTATGCGTTATTTAAAAAAAAAGTCACATCTTATAAATGTGAAATGCATTTATAAGATGTGACTTTTTTTTTACAACTACAAAGAAGATTTTTTTTCTATTTATTTTGACTTAGTCTTTATAAATAATATAAAAGCTATATCTCATCCATTTTTTCGCCAGCCTTTAACAATAAATTAATGAGCTCTTTTAGACATTTCTCTGTAGCTCGAGCCCTGTATTATATACACATAGAACCTACACATCTTTATTGAGTTCATTATAAAAAGTTATTTTATAAAATAATTGTGTGCTCATTGACTGAAATAAAATTACAACTCTTTTCAACAATGTTAGAAACGATGTAATTTTATTACTACAATAGAATTTACATATCCTTTCATTTTATTTTCTGTATCCTTGTAAGTCATATATTTCCATATTTAAAAGTAAAAAAAAACATTAACAATTTTTTTTTTAATATGTATTAATATTCTTTACGTATTGCATTTTTAAAGACATGTACATTATAGCTTTATGTATACATGTATATATTTTTATATGTGTGTTATTTAAAGAACTATTCTAATGCTTCTAATGGTCAACTTTATTGAACGAAAATGTAGAAGGCACTCCAAATCCGTGGAAGGACTTGTCTGAATGACAACTTCTCCCTCACGGATATGACTTTAGTTTGAATGCACCTCTAGGGGTACATACTTTGGATCTAACCAACATAATTTCTATCCTCGTAGATATAGAACATGATAACGGGTGTAGGAGAAATTTAATTTCGTTTACATTCATTTAAATCGAGTACAATAAATAAAATAGACACGATATTATAGACTTTCGATCTGAGAACAGACATGTACATTTTTCTTAGCGGATTATACTAAATGCAATCGTAATGCGATTATTTTAAAGCGGATTTTATCTTCTTTATTTTAATGAAACTATTATCATATTACAAAATGTATCCTTCAGGTTGATATATGTAGAGTAACATTAACATAGGCATAAATTGAAATATTATTGAAAATAGATGGGGGAAATGTTGGTATATTCAATATGGCACAGTGAGGTTATGATCATTATTAGAATTTATTGTAGGAAAATAGGAGGTAGGAAGAGAATAGAAGAATAAGAAGAAGAATACATACATAATTCTATGATGGAGATTAAGTATAAAATTGGAGTCATGTCATATCAACAATTAAAGAGAATGACGGAAGAGTCCACGAGGAAAGTGGCAATAAGTGACCTGATAAGAAAGAAGAAACAAATTCTTGTCTGTTTTTAATATCAAATGAACTACTTGCCGAAGTTTTCTCGAGAGACTATAGTACGTGGTTTTTCAAGAAGGGTATATTAAGCTTTCTTAAGGGTCAGTAACGCGCACGAGACATTTTTCAGGCGTCATACTTGTTTGCCACTTACGTAGTATAAAAAAAACAGCTTTACCCTAAATGCATATGAATGTATTACAATACTCATATGACAAAGATAATTTAAAAAAATTTCATCTATCTGTCTGTTCGTTCTGGCTAATCTCTAAAACGGTTGGACCGATTTTGACGGGACTTTCACTCGCAGATAGTTAATGTTATAAGGAGAGACTTGGCTACATTTCTTTTAGAAATTTTATTTATTTTATAACAGCTAGTACTTAATATAATAGTTACACTACCATTACAGGATCGGCATTCATTTCCTCTAACACAGTGAAATATGGATCGTATTTCCTTTGCAATCCCTTCTCGCCCATATGATATGGATAATAGTATGTGGCCGGCAAATAAAAAATGCCTTCTTTTGATTTATCAACGTTGAGTCCAAGTAGATTAGTTACTAACGGTTTCCGATCGTAACAGTCCCGGTCTCTCGCCTGCTGTATTGAATCGCATTGCATTGCTATAAAGGAGTTTGGACTCTCCAATGCTGAGTACCAAAATATGAACACTTTCAAGTGGCTGCACAGCATATCGCAGAAAGACCAAACCAAATCCCCATGTTGGTATTCACCACCGTTGATATAGAAATTCACGTGACCGATCGGCGCAGCTATCCCAAAACCATCGATATTTGTGGCTACTATTTCTACGTAGTCAGCATCAGTTTTGTCTAGTCTTTGGTCGGGACCTAGGTTCCTGAAGCAGGGGCCAGCTGGGTCCAATCCCGTAAGCTTGGCTATCTTCATGCCTGTCAAAGCTGTGTATGTCTTCGCCATATAACTCATGGTTTGCGAGCCAAGACTCAAACCCACTATCTCTAGTTTCTTCGGATCGAAATTACTGTTATGTCGAGTTATATTGTGTAACATTTCACCAGCGTGCCTGCCCGCAGTCCGTATCAGCCGCGAAGCACTGGAACATATAAAATCAAAGTTTATTTATGAAGTTCTAGAAAACTCTTATAATATATTTTTTAACATTTTTAATATTATAATATAGGAACTAATAATAATAAATAATATCAGTGACATGTTTGCGAATTTACTCGCGTATTCATATAAAAATTTACCTCACAGACGATTTCAATGAAAACTATGATATTAGTGATATGATGAAATGACCTGCGTTATACGCGAGTATACTGACGTTTACAGTGTATTTAAGATAAATACTTTTGAATAGTCACTTTTTTGTTCTACCTTTGTCCTTTGTAAGTATCCACATCTTATGTGGTTGTACCCTACACATGCATAAACGAAATATCTCCTTTGAAAAGTACACACTCTATCATGAGGAGATAAAAACCATTTCTCCTAAGAATATACTTCAATTCTTTTCTTTCACGCATCTAGATAACTTTGAAAAAGGGCGAGCACAATAGATCTATGCAAGAAAAATATAATAAATAGCAAATGGACAATTAACATAGACTGATACTGAACTGATATAAATAGATATTTTTATTTTGTAAATACATATATAATATACATATAAAACACCCAGACCGATGAAAACAATCGATGACCGATGAGTTGCTCATCTTATCATCTACCACTGGTGCCCTGCCAGCGTAAACCGTTAGCGCAGGCGGGTGCACCATTCCATTATGATATACAAAAAAAAAAAAAAGTCGCAGTGTTGCAGGTGTTAATACCTGACAATAGCCCAAAATACCCACTACAAAGAAAACAATTATCTAAATTAAAAAAATATTTCGTTGTAAAATAAAGTCGTTTTGACGTAAAATATAATGCACTTTAGTCCTCATTATATTCGCTTTTTTAAATAATAAATTAAAACGAATACTATCTTAAGTGACGTATTTTTTATAAATGCGTCAAACCATCTTAAATGTTATGCCAAATATATATGTATTATGTATATTTGACGACCTTTGTGATGTAGGTTTTTACCACGGTGCCTCACCTTCCGATGTTCGCGAATTCGATCCCCGTGTAATACAAACATTTTGTATTCATGAGTTTGAATGTTTATATTTTAGTAATATTATTTGTCTATGGCTTGTTTTAGGGGTTATCTTAAAGGAACTTCACAATTTATAACATTTCTTCTTGGAAAAACAAGATAATGTCAACTATATAGTTGGTACTCATTTTTCGTATTTTAAGGTTAGGTTCCATTAAGTAGCGGTACCAGAAATATAAATAATAATAATAATAATATCCCTGGAATTGTCCAGGGTATTACTGTGGTGATGGAATTGTCCAGACTAAATGGTACTGTGTACTAATTGACACAGCACCATTTAGTCCCAAATTAAACAGAGCTTATGTTACGGGTAACTAATAAATAAAATAATATACACAGAAAACACTCACATTAATACCAACAATTATACTCATGAAACGTTTGTACCGTGTGAGGAATCGAACCTTCAACCACTGAAGGAAAGCGGACTGCTTTCGATTAGGGTCGCTAGTTATTAGTTAGTCGCTAGATTCCTTGTATGATGTAAACATTTGTATTCTCAAGTATGATTGTTTGTATAGGTCTAGGTGATTTCTATTGTATTATATATTTAAAATCTCAGTATGTGTTTCAGTTGTCTAGTATCCATAACACAAGCACTTACCTTGGGACTAAATCGCGACTGTTATTATTATAATTTCTATTTGTCTGGTACCGCCATTTAGAAAGTCTTCTATCTTAAAATACGAATTAGGTATACCAACTAGATGACGTTGTGTGAATTGTCCTGGGTTAAAAAAACTTATATTATATATTATACTTACATTGGATATGATACAGTGACAAATCTGTTGGTATCCATTAACCAAACGTTGTACCCCAATCTCTTGTAGGTAGATTCCAATAGTTTTGCCAATATAAACGTTGGGAAATCAAGGAATCCACCTACGTACAGCATGGTTTTCTTGCTAAAATCCATAGTGGGATCGTTTGCCAACTCTCTCATTTGGTAATATGTGTATTTCTTCCTTTTTGCATTTGGTGAACTTTTTGCTCCCAATGCTAAGATGCTTAAATGTTGGAGGCTCTCTCGTGATATAATGGAAGGCTTTTCTGAACCAGGACCTGTAGCAGAAAGCGTTTTTATATATATAATTCTTCTGTTCCTATGTTTATGACGACTGAATCGTTTTGTGTGAAATTTTGTATCCATATTACAATAGGTTCCTAGATGGTTTGAAATCATAATTATATCCATTCAATACATATTAAAAATATTATAATTAGTATATAATGTGGTTATTTCATAATGTTTATAAATGTTAACGCATAAGATAAATTAAAATTATAAACAAATTTGAAGTGAAAGTGAAGTGGTCTTTTTTTATTTATATTTAAGAAAGAATTATTAAATTATGTTCCTCTATCTATATTAATTAATTAAGTATTGAAGCTACCAATCATAAACATTAAATTGAAATTGAACGTGAAATAACATCTTACATTAGGCATATAGTAAAGTAATATAATAATAAAATTATATACTTGTAAGGGCAGAGATCCATATCGCATGCTAATATAACAACTGGTATTATAACTATGTAAGTTCGTTTGTCACACTTTCACACATAAACCCCCGATTCGGTTATGATTAATTTTGTAACAGAGCTAGATGCGACACTGAACTCTATTATAAACTAATTTTGGTCTCGAACGTAAAACTTGATGGGGTGAAATAGGGGATACAAGTCTGTACAGAGAGTTAACAATTTCTCAATTAAATGATTTAACACTAACAGTAATCTGACAATAGTATATTAATAAATATAGATACAAAGTTCCGAGAATATCCAGTGAAATATAAACTTACAATCTGAAAGAAAGCCCGTATAGTATCCTTCGTCATATCCCGCATTGTTCCTGGTTGCCTCTGTACCAAATAATACTGACGCGCCTATCAAAACCACCATAAGCACCATTGTCACACTGTTTTATTTAATATTAACATATATATATGTTACAAGTATTTGTACATGCATGAGTCTCGACATGAACGTTTCACAGACGTTAGCGAAATTTTGACAAACACTCACAAGTGTATTCTACTATTTATGTATATATATGTCCTTTATATGCATAAGTAATGCCTCTAAAAATGTTCTAGTTGAGCTCCTTGCCAGTTCTTCTCAACTGAAGTAGTTAGATATACTGGATTGTTGGGATTGATAAAACATTTTGAATCAACTTTTTTTGCTACATTCAGCTATTAGTAAAAATGTATATATGTATGTATGTATGCAGATTTACTACTACTGTCAGTATTATTAGAAATGGAAATAAGCTCTAATAATAATTTGATTGGCAATTTATTATTCTACCGTCATAATCACAATACAGATTTACCCAAATTGAACGGGTTATTTGAAACTCTATTTAAAATATTTATTTTAATGTAAACGTATCTGTAATTATAAAGTACCAAATATTAAGTTACATGAAATTTCGGGAAAATGTAAGTGTTTGTTTATTGAAACAAAAGGTGTACATTCCTTTGCTATATGTTATATTTCAGATCTTGATATCTTGTACATTACATTAACAAATACTTGCTTATTTTTCCTTATAGTACTAAAAAGATATAATTAATAAACGAAGAACAGACATTTAATTTTTCATAACAATATTTTTATGTGACTGGAATAACAAAATACGGCTCCCTCGATAAAAAGTGCAATATAATTTTATCCGGTTCAAAGATTTCTCTAGCAATATCGGGACAATTTTACTTCATAATTGTCTTATCATTTATAATATTTTATCGTATAATTGTAATTTAATTAATTATTTGATATTTATCACTATATATACTTATTAAGATCTCACGGTACTCATGCGTTATTATTTATGACCTCCCGATATTCCGATGCACTAACAAACGTCTTGGTCTAGAACTGGTGATGGCGTTTAATAGGAGCAGACTTTATCTACCTTCTTTTTTAATCTTTTATTAGATACAACTAGTGTCACCAAATTTCCACATCTACTCATAGGCAGAATATAGAGAAACTATTAAACTTACCTGTTATTATATTAAATGTATCCTGTGCAACCCCTATGCTTAACAAAACCAACTAATAAGTACAGTGCACTTATCAGTGAACACTTGAAAGTCATGACAAAACACAGTCACCGTATCGTTCAGATTTTAGAGCCTATGTAGCTTGCTTAACAGCTTCGAAATATGAGGACCTTATGGATAAAATTATCATGAAATCAATCCTGTTTATATAATGGATAAATCAGTGATTCTAACTCCTAGCAGTGCCCTCAAACTATAGTCGTATGCCCTCAGACTATAGTCGTATACATCAGGCAGGAGTTGGCCGTCAGCCGCTCCATAAGTCCTTCCGCGGATTTAGAGTGTCATCTGTACTCGTCTTCTATCATTCGGTGAAGCTGTATAAGCCAGCTGCTGCCAATATTATTAGAGTATTATATAATCCATAAATTCGGATTTCGAACAAATGATATCAGTGCCATCAGCAAAGTAGTATGGTAGTTAAGTCCTTCCTTTGGTTTGGAGTGCCATCTGCACTCGTCCCCCATCGTTCGGTGAAGCTGTAAAATCCACCTGCATCTATCTGCATTAAAGTAGTTCGAAAAATAATCCCATGTTAGGTTTCACTGCCATAATATTGTACGGACAAAACCGGGGGAAATAGCCAGTGTTTCCTAACATTGTGAACTATTACACTTTACATGTAAGACACGACGACTGAAGTGAAGGGCATTATTACATAAAGTAATGTAACATTAACATATTATAATACAATACATTTATGTCGATTGTGTCGACATTTTAAACGACTAGTGTCTATGATATGTGACATTTTGAGTTTACAGTGTATATGTATACATATATAAAAATTTCGTGAAATTTCTAAACGGATTTTGATGAAATTTTATATGTATACTCGGTAAGTCTAAAAATAGGGTGTTATCTATTTTTATATCTCTAAGTGATAGGATTGGGCCTATCCAAAAAATTGTTCTTTATTTTTTGACATATTTTTTTTTTCTATGTGTCCTGGCTGCTTGTGTTAATGGAACGTATCAAAGTTCTATTATAAGTATAATATAAAGATATAACAGGTTTTATACTATAAAAGAAAATTATGAAGTAGTATTATACAAAAGTACGTTGTTTACTTAAAGGTATTTTTTATTATTTTTGTTAGTAATGAAAATGTATATTTTTTCCATTGTGATATACATATATATGACATAGTATCAAATATTCTTTAGTCGAAAATCAGTTGACCAATAGATATCGAATCGGAATCGGGTAAATTATTTGAGGTTATTACGGTTGATCATAACGATAAGGTGGCTTTTTGATGTTGGTGTCAGTATTTTACAGTACCTTTTTGACGAATATAGTAAATTCTCCAAATTAAGAGGATATAGGGTAATGGAGAATATAGAGTAAGTAAAATCTCCTATCCTCATACATCTCGCTCTAATTTAACTTTGCTTAAGTTATTACGATGACAATGAGTACTTTAGAAATTAATTTAAAAATAAACCCAAAATACACGCCTATTCCTTTTAGAGCATCGGGATCGGGGCACCTAAAGTATACATTTTTAGAGTATGGTGGAATAAGTTTGGTTTTAAATTAAAAAGAAAAAGAAACAGATTAAGTTTTATATCTCATTGAGAAGATATTTTATCATATGGAATAAAAAAATAGACATATATCAAATAAAATAAAATAAAATAATTAATAATATACGTATATTATCCAACAAAATGTTAGAAACATTACAAGTAACGTTTCGTTCAATCTTAACTTCCGCTTGTATTGTCAAGTCTCTACGTGACTACGAATATCTCCGAACCCCAACGCTAAACATATGTTCAACTGTTTGAGCCAATATTTGCAAACCTTTCAACACGTATTGGTAAACATGTTGGTATAATCTATACTAATATTATAAAAAGCTAATGTTTGTGAGTTTGTAGAGGATAACCTCTGGATCTATTGAAACTTTCAAAAATATTTAAAAAAAATTTTTTAATTAACAATTTCATCTATCTCAATATTAATATTTTTTCTTAATCATCCACTTTCAATAGGAATTTTAATTTTAACTCAAACTTTATTAATTTACTTATTATCTGGAATAATAATCAAAACTTATTGATTCTCATATATTTTATTTTTAACTTTTATAGGAGGATTATTAGTCTTATTTATTTATGTATCAAGAATTGCATCTAATGAAATATTTAAATCCTCATTTATACATAAATTTATATTAATAATTATATTAACTTTAAATTTAATTCTATCTTACTATCTATTTTTTAACCTAAATTGATTAAACATATCAATTAATTTGGAAGAAATAAGAGATTAATTAAGTTGAAAGTTTCAATAATTGAATTAAATGAAAGTTTCAATAATTAAATATTCATAAATGAATACCTTACGTAGCTTTATAGATCTTTAACTGACTACATATCAAATTCAAAAGTTGGAAAGAAGTAGCGAAATATTATAGCTGTCAAAAGAGCGGCTAAAATAAAAAAGAACATGCATAGTATCAATATCAAATATATTAGGTCCTTACATATGAAATTGACGTTTTGTCGTACTGGCCACTTTGATCTCAAATATGTCATCTTTGCTTAGAAATTCCAATTTCAAATTTATACAGCTATTTACTCATGCATTTGTTTTCGAAAACCGTGACACATATGTTTTTTCCATATTTGTTAATTTTTGCGTTTACAAAATATAAAACTGAAAATATCGCGTTATTTACGAGTACCTACGAGTTCCATCTTGGCACTAGTGCTGCAAAAACGGCTCGAAAGATTAATATGTGTATGGCGGTGCTGTCTCAAAAGAAAACACAGTTCGTTTATGGTACCAATGTTTTCATTCCCCCGTATCGGCCGGGGTCCAAGTTTGATAATGTAGAATTGAAGGCTATTGTCAAAGCAGATCTATCACAATTCATGTCCGAATTAGTTGCAGACTGCGGAGTTAGTGACAACACTGTTCAAGCAAATTGGGAGCGTGAAAAAGCTTGAAAGGTGGGTATCTCATGAATTGTGTGGAGCAATTCGACAAGCGCGCGTAGACTGCTACGTTACATTAGTCAACCGGCATAATAATGAAAGAATTTTAATTGGAATCATTATCTGTCATGAACAGTGGATCTTGTACGATAGTCGGAAATGGTCATCGCAATGGCTGAACCCTGGTGAACCAGCCTAATCCGGCCGCGAGCAAAAATTGACTCAAAAAATTTTACTTGAGCGTTTGGTGGACTAGAATCGATTTTGCTCACTTCAGCTTTCTTAAATCTAACAGCAGCAGATGTGTATTGTTAGCAATTGCAAACCATGATGGAAAAGTTAGCTGCTAAACAACCAAGGCTGGTCAATCGCCATAGGCCACGGCTGCTTCAGGACAACGCTAGACCACATACTACACAACAGACAGTTACTATATTAGAAGATCTTCAATTGGAATGTCTAACATCATCATGAATGACATCTACTGTACTCCCCGGACTTAGCTCCAACCATTTACCATTTTTTTTCGAAATTTGGACTTCTTGCAAGGGAAAAAATACAATTTCGATGTTTAAAGCGCCTTCAAAGATTTTATTGATTCCCGTTCGAATGGTTTTTTTAGTAAAGAGATCAATGAACTGTCTATGAGATGCCAAAATTGCACAAATAGCAATGGTGCGTATTTTGATTACAGAAATACATTTCATTTTGAAAAAATCGACTTTAGGTTACTCCCTTAGTAAACGCCAATTTCATATGTCAGGACCTAATATAATAATTATAATTAATAATGCCAAGACGATTACTACTCGCTGTACCTATTATAATATAAGCACACATATTACCCATCTGTCTGCTATTAGATATGCCACGCGTAGAAAATATTTGAATGTTAAGTAACATTCAAATATTTTCTACGCGTATCCAAGTGGACATAGTTACTTGTACATACATCATTTACCATCGAATAATTTGTATTAAGACCTAATCTACTACTACTATTGAACATACTTTTTTTTTTATATACTACGATGGTGGCAATCAAGCATACGGCCCATCTGATGGTAAATGGTTACCGTAGCCTATGAGCGCCTGAAACACCAGGGGTATCACTTGCGCGTTGCCGACCCTTAATACTCGTATGATGACATACTTATTGAAAATTTACAATTACTGGTCTATGATATATATTTAAATCAAATGAATAGTTTCAAAATAAAAAATACAAAACAAATTAAATAAAATGTACAAACGCTGATAGAAATTACTACGGCCTGAGTCTAGTGTCCTCAGATTAAAGTCGTACTCATCAGGGAATAGTTACCCTTCAGCAGCTCCATAAGTCCTTCCGCGGGCTTGGAGTGCCATCTGCACTCTCCCCTATCATATCATCATCATCCTGCGACCAACGAGATTAGAATAATTCGATAAAAAAATTCCTTAATTGCAGTTTCGCAATAAAAATACTTCTAATAATCTAATTCGAAAAAAAAATCATTAATGGCAGTTGCGCTATGAAAATATGGTCTTACAGTCTGAAAGGTATCCAGTATAGTATCCATGTTTATGTTTCATATAATATCCTTCATCAGCAGTACTGGGCAGCATCATCATGGCATTTATTAAAAACGACACACAAATCAAAATTTTTAAAATTAATGTCATTTTATTTTTTATAAAAACTAAATACTGTTAAGTAACGATCTATGCTGAATGTCTAACGACAGTTTGTCTACTAAACTATGTTTTTCCTTAACCATGGTAACTGTTAATTTTTATTAAGGTTCAAATTCTGAACAATGGTAGTTAATAATTTGAAGACCTGTCAGCGGATATGAAGATTATATTAGGTGTAGTTATTTCTAGATGTGGCAATTTTACATTTGTTCAATCCATAATACTTCATTGATATTTATTAGGATTATTTATACTATATACTTTATTTATTTCATAGAGATTACCCACGCAAATTACTTAGTACCTGATTTGACTTTGATTCCAGACGGAAATTATTGAGAAATATTTATTTATTTGAAGATTTTTAATATAAGATTTTCTAAGCAGAATTATATAATTTTATTAAACACTGGATTATATACTTATTCAACATGATATATTTCAATTTCAAGGAATAGTAGATTTAGATATTAAGGTTTACAAAAATATCTTCCACTTTCTTTAGAACAGACGTTGTTTAATATCTATTAAAATAAATATATCAGTACAATTTTTAAAATACTCAATACAATTATAATTTACGAACACATCACTTCTAGTTTTTTACATAAATACACATATAAGGCTTTGTGAATTACATTGAAGTTGTTGAACAACGTACTTTTAGTTCTTTGTAAGACCAACAGTACTGAAATTATTGACAAGGCCACTACCTAACTACGCTTTAAAAAACCATCTATATACAGATATTTAGTGTAAACAAACCAAATCAAAATCATACCAAAAATCATTTATTCTTTGCTTATGAACGTCAAGTTTCTTGTATTATTTTTTTCCTACCGTCCAGTCCAATTTCAACCGAATGTGAAAGCTGAAAGAAAAGAAATGAGATTTTTGTGTAATATTCTACTTGATATACATATCTTATTACAATGTCTCAAACAAAAGTGCCACAACTGAACAAATTTGCAATGTTTTTATATTGATTCCATATATGTAAGTAATACAGATGATTTTTTTTGTACAAGAAAAACTTACATTGTAATTGAACAACGATAATTGCGCCTTATTGAAAACACTTTACAATGATTTTGTACATAAATTTTGCTTTATACACTCAAGTAGGCGTTACAGAAGTATTTATTCAATATTATTATTACTTTATGTATTTACTAATTCGTAATTATAATTGATATAAACATTCAATAAATGCAGTATAATATATATGCTGCTGGTCACAATATTCTCCCTAATTTTATTTTAAAACGAATCTATATTTCTGAAATCATGTACAAATTTCTGGCAACACCGCCAGTTTAACAGTGAATCGGTTCCCGCGAAAAAATTAACAGTCAGAGTTGTTATAGTACTTATAGTCGAGAAGTTTGAGCAGCCGTAAAAAAGTGTTCATTAACTATTGTTATCGTAAGAACCACTAATTATACTGTATGATTGATGAATATATATTGGTTACAAGAGTTTTTCTGCTGTCTGGCTATTGACGACTTCCAATCCACAATCACAATCACAATTATGTGTATGTAATATAGATGGATAAGGGCTTTTGCATCGGCAAGGAATGAGGCATGTCCTAACTCCAAAAACTCTTGAAAATAATAAGAGCAGTGTTTCTTATCAGTTCTTTTTAACTCCAATTAACACCGAACTGACAGTAGATTTGACATATCACAAGAGTCTCTAATAGATCTACATGAACAAAGATATTTTAGATTTATTTGATTAAAAAAATATGTTGTGACAAAGCTGAAATGCAATGTTTTACTAATCCTATTGAACGTAGAATCTTTTCTCTTTTTTTATCTTTTAAAAATATTTATCGTCAAATTTAATTTAAACGAATATACAAAACTGCCAGTGATTCTTATTGTAGGTCTAACAGTTTTCATGAAAATAAAACTGCAAATGATTATGTTATTTACATATAATTATAAAATATGTATTATATGATCAATACTATGTATATTCAAATTTTACATGTTTTGCTAATCATAAGTTCTTAAATTTTAACAATTTGGCTTTATCTCATTAGCTTAAACTTACTAATATAATACTAAAGTTTATAATAGTGGCATCATATATACACACGGTTTGTGTACACACTAATATATAAACTAAATATATGTACAGTAAATAAAATGTATTTATGTTTATTCTCATAAAAAATAATAAACCATACATTATTTTTTAAAATACTAAGGTTATGTTGAAATAGAATTTGCAATATAATTAAACCTAAAAGTGCACAAACAACACAAATATGAATTTGTATTTTGTACCTCTACTGTGATGTTTGTCATAGTAGTATTTTGGGTCCACTTTCACGTATAATAAATTTACTGTTTGTTTATTTAAAAAGAAATATGGTCCATTATACTTAATACATACAATATGTATTCATAATATTACAGACTGATAATTATAATTGACATTACGTAATATGCATTTAAGTTTTTACAGAATATTACCATTACAAATATTTCATGATCGAATTAATGCTTTTTAAACATCAATTTGAAATGAAAACAATGAATTTACGAAATTCATTGTTTCTCCTTATTATATATATATATAATATTTGCGATTTTTCTATTTAATTTTTCCAGTTGTATAATTTTTATAATTTGACAAGTTTTGTGTTCAGTATATTCTCGCAGAATCATATCACTATATATTCAATAAGTTATTCAATATTATTCCTCTTTTACGTGTCATTATGTGTACTGAGTTACTTTCCTGTTTTTTGATAGCAAAAAAATCGCCAAATATTACTATTCTTTTCTTGTTATATGCTCACTCAACTGTTAGTTATCTATAGATCTAACCTACATAGGTTTGTAATAAATTGACCACAAAACCAACATCTTTATTGTTGTTAAATGCTTAAAATGAGCTCTAATATTATAATACATTAATTTGGCAATATGAACATATTTAGATTTATATCGTCATAACAACTTTCGAGTTCATACTTTTTAACATGGACGAAAAAATTTCATATTTCCTTTTCAATCCCTTCTGGCCCATATAGTACGGAAAACTGTAAGTGGTTGCTAAATAGAATATACCCTGTTTCGTTTTATCTACATTAAGACCGAGTGTATTAGTAACGATAGGTTCTCGATCGTAGCAATTCTTCTCTCTGGCTTGCTGCACTGAATCACATTGCATTGCAATAAATGAGTCCGGATTCTGCAACGCCGCAAACCAGATCGTATAAGCTCTAATATGGCTACAAAATATATTACAGGGCAACCAAAATACATCACCCGGTTGATATTCTCCACCGTTTACGTAAAAATTAACATGGCCTACAGGTGCAGCCATGCCAAATCCATCAATATTTGTTGCTACAACATCAACGAAATCAGCGTCGCTTTGGTCCAGTCTATCTTCAGGACCTAGGTTCCTGAAGCAGGGTCCAGATGGGTCCAAACCCGTGAGTCTGGCTACGGTAACTCCAGTCAGCGCTCTGTATGTCTTTGCTATATAACTCATGGTTTGACCTCCAAGACTGAGACCTACTACCTCTAATTTCTTAGGATCGAATTCCGAATTATAGTTAGTTAAGTTAAACAACATTTCACCAACGTGTTTTCCAACAGCACGCATTAGTCGAGCAGTCCTGAAATTAAAAGATATAACCAAAATTAAACTGTTTTTTGTTGATGATAATAATGTAACAGGGGAAGTGAATTGTTAGTAATGTGGACTAATACTCCCATCAGTTCCCTGTAGAAACCATCGTTATAAATTCCTGGCAGATTTGCCATGAAGGACTAACTGACCTGACTTCATACTCATCTCATTATCCTCTACTGGTGCCCCGCCCAATTTATTATTATTATGATAATTGATTTATTATTTTGAATTAATATTAACCAAAGTACTCTATGTATATCATATCAAATATCATTATAAAAATTATCATAAAATTGTATGGCAAGGAAATAAATGTTGATATACTTACACAGGATATTCCATTTTAAAGAATCTATTCATATCCACCAGCAAAACATTATAACCCAACCTTCTGTAATTAGTCTCCAGAACTGTCGCGAAAGGATAATTGGGACTATCCAAAAACCCGCCCACGTATAACATAGTTTTTTTTCTATAGTCCATTGTTGGTTCGTCACTCAACTCTTTCATTTGATAATACGAGTATCGGAGTCTGTTTGAATTCGGTGGTGCGTTTGCTCCTAATGCAGTGAAAGTTAAATATTTTAGACTCTTCTTTGTGATTGTTGAAGGCTGTTCTGAGCCAGGACCTGCAAACAAAACATATGTGCTGCGTTAATTGTCTATTTATTTATCCAATTTATTGCATTATTTTATTTCCGTTTATTTTATATAATAATTTATATGCTGCTGTCAGCATCGTCATTATTTGTGATTTAAAAAATGTTATTGGATTCTATTCTAAATAAATGAAGAAGAAATAAAATTTACCGCGTTATACATGGGCCCGGCGATTAGTCATACATACTGCAAGATATCACTTTGGCAGGTAATAACTTGGTTTGCAACAAGGTAATAGTGAGGAAGTATCAACTTTAACTATTAGACATACCTCAATAGTTTGTTTTCAGATAACCAATCCAAGGACACAATCAATGTAAACTGTGCCAGTCGAATTTTATCTTGCGCATGTATTTATTATCAGTTAAAACATAACTAAATAAGGATATCATGGAGGTCGAATAACAATATTTATTCCTGTTGTATTTATAGCAAATAATACAATAGAAATAACAATATGCCATATTTATTGCAAACATCAATTTGCCAAATTAGGATTATTGTTATTTGTTAGTATAATATACTAATTTGGGTCTAGCTGTCAATATTTGAAAAATACATTATATATTTACATTCGTATTTCACGTTAAGGAAAAATCTATGACAAATATGACGGAAGAAGGTCCAGTTCTGACTTTGAATAAAATAAATGTACAATTTTAAGTGAATCTTAGTGAAAACAGCATTACATTCTGTTAAGCCATTTCTGAGTTACACAGAGGAAACACAATATTTCAAACAAATATTGTAATCTATGAAATTGATTTTTATCAATTTTTTCTCTTAATATTTTTGGGTGGAAATCTCTTTATTTTCTATTTACAGACAGAGATCAGTTACATTTGCCGGTTTTTTAATAAGGAGTAAGCTCTTTTTTGAAGGTTTCAATATCGTTCGGAAATACCATTGCTGGATGGTGATTCCAAACTGCGGATGTCTTTCAAATTCACGACCCTATTTTGCTATAATTTAGAATACTTCTACTTAAACGCAGACCTAAAATCCTCTATCACTGTAATTTTGGTGCTATGGAGTTAAATATCCCTTTAAGTCTTTCGAAATAGGTTTCTTATTTGTGTTTCGATCTTTTTTTGTTGTCGGGCCGATGCGAACCCACAAGATGGATAGTAACCATAATTTTGGTGCTATGGAGTTAAATCTCTCGTTAAGCCTCTGAATAGATTTCTTATTATTGTTCCGATGACTGGGCAGTCAGTCAGAAATTTAAATTGCCACATAAGCTTTTTTGTTGTCGGGCAGATTCGAACCCACTGTCTCTCAGCCTAAGACCGGATAATAACCACTTGGCCATGACACTCCCAATGATGTTAATCATATTGACATAATCCTATTAATTAGTAGAATTACAAAGTGCTAACTTCACAAGGATATATTAACTAAGAGCAATAAAATAACTCGCAGCCATAAACAACAATGGCATGGACAAGCACGTATAATTTTTATTTATAAATCGTTCATTATTACTCTATTACATGTATAAAATAAATATACGGAGAAGTAATTAGTTTATTCATTGATTATAATTATCATATTTATATACATGATAGGTATATTACGTCGTATATATATATATATATATATTACGTCGACCCTAAATAAATGGGACGAGGAATAAGCATATGATGATATAATATATAAATAATAGCAGCATGTACTTGTTTATATATGCCATTCTTTTTTTTTTTTAGTGTTTAATTTGTGACATTATTGTAACACGGTCTCTGTGACATTTTCTTTTTTTTTCATTGCTTTTTTATCCACAGACAGCGGTCCGTTTGTTTAGTTTATCTACTTTATGGCATTTCGCACTATATATTATAAATTACATTTTAAATCATATCAAATTAAAATTAACAATTTAGATTGAATAAAACCCAAAAATAATATTAAAACAACAATACATTCAAATTACATTAGTAACAATAATGTATTGAAAATAAAACTAAATTACTGTTTGACACTTTATAACTCTGGAAATGCAAAAAGATTTCTATTTTGCCATACCAGAGGAAAAAAATGTCATGCGTTTATTCTCTGCAATTTCACTGGCTTCAAGCGAAGCACAGCTTACAAAGTCTTGGGCAAAACAAATATTTAGTACGCTCCGATCTCTGTAGAGTATTTACTTAAGTAAATATGCGCAATGCATGAATATTTAATTGAAGTGTCAATGACACCATAACAATGACAAAAGAAACCCAAATTCAATAACAAACATATAGCCGGTGACTAATTATTGTTTAAAACAGTACTTAATACAGTAAATAAAATTTCTAACTTGCAATACAAAATGGTAGCATAGATGTGATAAAATCCGTTAATCAATTTACAGTTTTTTTATTTTAAATGTCAGGATATGTATTCTGTAGGAGAGAATACATATTTATTTATAAAAAACTGCATTGCACGAACACACATTAAAAGTGCACATAAAGAACTTGACATCTGAAGGCATTTTCTCTCAGGCAATTGCATATAACAGTGGAGCATTTTCTCTTCATTGAACTCTGTAATATTATCTTATCTGTGACTCAACCATACGGTAAACAGAGATTCATATGGGCAGTGCATAATCTGAATTTTAAATGTTAAAGTAAAAAAACAATATTTCTTATTGTTATCCTAATAATATATTTCTCCAATATGGTAGCAGGCCGTGGCTACAACAACAGATTTCTGCCAACTAACCACTAATCGAGATAAATTTCTATAGTCGACATCCGGTTCCATCATTCGCACAGCTTAATAACGTAGTACTATTGCACCGTCATACCCAACTGTAGTATATAAAGTAAATTTCAGCTTATTTAAACTGAAACGGAAATAGGGTCGTTAACTCTGCAAATTTTTAAATAGTTATATCTTTTTTTGTAGACAATGATGGAATAATAATACAGCAAAATTCATACAACGCCATCTAGTGTCAAACTATGCAGAGCTTGTACTATAGTTACTAAAGAACTGGTAGAAATACTTAAATCTAATTTTCTTTTATAAATACATGCAATTAATATATGACTATGCTATTTAGGTTACGAACACTAATTAAACTATTTTCTTTTGACAAAATTAAAAAATAGCATATGCTGTTGGTCACTCTTTTCTCCCAAATTTGAATTTAAATATGTACAAGCTAATTTGGAAAAAATAAGGGCTGAATATCTTGTTAGTTTTAAGCTCGAAAGCATTCCGAAGTGATGGTAGATTTGACATATCATAAGAGTCTGTAATAGACCTTCATGAGTAAAGGTAATTTTATTTTTATGTAGAATACCCAAACTAATAAAAAATATTAATTAATACGAGTCAGTTAGTGAATCGATCCCAGGATTGCAAGAAAAGCAATGTGCTAAACCGCTAGACCAACCGTCAATATATAGAATAAGAAATCAGGGCGCTGATAACCCATGCTATAACCTGGAATTATGGCATTATCCATGATATCTACCGTCAGTGCGGAGTGCTTTCGAGCTAAGAAGAAATAACAAGAAACTTTCATATACTTCGTCGCGGAAAAGTTATTAAATATAAAAAAAATATTTGATTATCCTTGATTATAATTTTGGCGAAGATTGACAATTGGCGTATGATAATTGCAATATGATTAACATGCGAATTTACACCGTCAGTCATTCTAAAATAAACAAATAAACAATAGAATCGTGTGAAGGTTGATCTGACGGATATTGATATTAATAATATAGGTATTTCCCATTACTATTATAATAGTCCCCTCCTCGCTCCACGACCTTTTGTTTCCTTACAATTTTTCTCATTTTATCAGTATGATAATAACATATAATAAAATGCTAAACGAATCCGTGGAATAGATATTGATTTAACATTTTTTTGTGTTATATTGTACTTATGTCACTGAAGTAAAACAAATTTTACTTAATTTTTTCCGTTTAGCCATGCAGGCTAGTCTCAGAAACGAATCAAACTATTAAACTACAGTTTTAGCACCTATTGTTGTAGCAAGCTTTCTAATCGGTTCTAAAACAAGATAATTAATACATGCTATTCTAGAAACGATGCATATGAAGTCATGGGGACAGCTAATATGATCATAATAAACCAGGACAATTGACATAACGCCATCTAGTCCCAAGCTAAGTAAAGCTTATGTTATGGATACTAAACTACTGACAGAAAAATATGAATAGATTGTTTTTGCAAATATATAACGTACATAATCAGACTACATACTAGACAACTGATATAAACACTTAGATACATTTCTTTTCGTAAATACATACATAATATACATAGAAAACACCCAGACCTATACAAGTACTCATTTATTAATTTATTTATTCTTTTGCACTCAAAATGTATACATGGCGAACTTATTGCCTGATGGCATTCTCGACCAGTCAACTTACTAGTCTACTCATATTAATGATTACAAATATTTGCACCGTGCAAGGAATGGAACATACGACCAGAATGAAGGCGGTGTGCCAAACCGCAAGACCACTGAGGCCGTATAATGAGTACAAATACAAACACATAAAACATCCCTACATAACAAGGCTAGCTGGAGACATCTCAATATAGTAAGCACTCCTAATTTGGTGTTATTTAATACGGAAATACGGTAACAGGTTCTACAGAATGTTGTTAATTGGTTATTGATATAAATAAAACAACAGAATGAATTTAAAATGAAGTGGCAATGACCTGATGTATGTGTTTATGGTACCATAAACCTACATGTATGTCTTATTAACTGACAGTAAGTTGTATCACTCAAGATTTATGGTAGTACTAATGCCTACAAATTGAGAGGCATTAGGTTGAATAGGTTTAGGCTGACAAAATTTATTATACAATAACTGATTTTTTTATATCAACAGTAATAGCCTAAGTTACTCCTTATTACATCAGCTACCTGTCAAAAAAGTCCCGTCAAAATCGGTCCAGCCATTTCAGAGATTAGCCGGAACAAACAGTCAGAATGTAAAAAATGTTAGTTTGGAAACCCTGCAGAATTCATTATATAATAATTGATTTTTTTTATGTCAACAATTGCTATTTTGAACAAAAAAAATAGATGTCAGTAATATAATAAATCTATTCATTCATTCATTCATAATTTAAGAGCTACGCTCTTGTCGGTAGAGCTCTTGCCACTTTCCGCGATTTTCCATCATGCATGCTCTTTCATTCTTTAGCTCTTTAAATCTATACCAATATTATTTATTTTTTAATTTATTTAAAGACCCGTCACTCCCTTTCACGAATGCATTACAAATCTTTGAATTTCTCAATTTGTTCTATATTATAACACACTTGTATTATGCATATAAACTTTCTTTTTAAATCACTCTGTTTATTGCTGAAAACTACATTAAAATCCATGACGTAATTAAAAGATATGACTTTATTTTGAACTACACATGTAAAGATGCTTTATGGAACAAACATACCTACAGTGAAAAATAAAATAGAATATTAAAAAAAAAGCAGGTACAAAAGACGGTCTTATCACTAATGTAATCTCTCCCAGACAAACTTAGAAACAGGAGTGTTAGTAAAAGTAAAGTAGGCGGCACATGAGTGGAAAAAAGGTAAAAATAAAAAATTAAAAAATATGCACTTCTATATTATAAATATATTATATTACAAATTCATATGTATGTATTCACTAAAAAAAAATTTATGTCTTAATATCAGTTCTCTATTAATAATAATATTATAAATATGAAAGTGTGTCTGTTTGCCTATTACGTTGAACGAAACTTAATGAAAATTGAGTAAAAAATAGATTATTTCGAAGACTGATAGAAGGGCAATTGATAATTGTCCTAAAAACAGACAAAATCACTGGGAGTAACTATCTGTTTCAAAATAATTAACTTAAAATTTAATTTAATAAAGTTTAAAAATAAGGGTTTTATTTTTTACATTTTGCAGCCATTGTCCAGGGTTTGATGTTCAATTTGGTTGCTTGTTGTTTTTGTGATAAGTATGCTTTTCCAATGAGTGGTAGAATGAAAAAAAAATCGTAAGACTATTCAGAAGTACACTACTAAGTTAATTTGAATAAAGATTATTTCTATTTCTATTTGTCGGAAAGGAATCAAGACAAAAGTCAGGTAAAATGCTAATATGACACATGTGTACCGACTTTCGCCGAGTTGAAATCTAAAATTACAATTTTTCAGCGCAGTTTGTGTGTTTATTATTCAACTTACATCTCAGAGAAATTTGTTCAGTATCACTAAAGTTATCATTTGTTTTTACATTAGCTTAAAAGTAAAGTACGCTTTAAAACAAACCTAATATAAAATAATAATAACTCTGGACAATCCACACGTCTCCTAATCACAAGCTAAGCAGAGCTTGTGTTATGGGTGCTAGACAAGTGATATTAAAAACCTAAATACATTTTTTAAAAACATCTACATAATGTACATACGTAAAACCCAAACCAATACAAACAATCATACCCATATATAAAACGTTTGCACCTCGCGAAGAATCGAACCTGCAACCATCGGAAGGAAGGCGGTATACTAAACCGTTGCCTACACGGTCTATTATTATATATTCACAACGCGTCACACCTTATGAATAAATACTCCGACTTCCCTATGGTTTTTTTTTTATATAAAGACCGTAATAGAGTAATAATTAAATATAATCTAATTCTAACACAACTTTTTTGAAATCGGTTAAACGAGTTATTAGTGCAATGAACTTTAGCTAATGGGTACAACAATAATAGTGTAATTGGTGAGAAAGTAATTATGAATGTAGTGCTTGTTTAATCCCAGCCTGTAACTAGGTATAATAAAACTTAAAACTGTTATCAAAAGGAAGGAATTTCTTATTTTACTCTGTTTTTATACATTCCCTCATGTGCTTACAAGGAATAACCGAATAGAATCTTAAAATAATATTTATATTTACAGATAGTAGAAGTAAAAAATTGTATTGTAGTAAATATGTAAATGTTAATCTATATAAATAAATAATAAACATATTTGTCGCTTGAAAAATAAAAATAAAATATTATTTTTTAAGAATCTGTCTTTCGAAGAAGAATTAAAATATAAACAAAAATAAGAATAATATCTCAGGACAAACACAGCGCTAACTAGTCTAGTCCTAAGCTAAGCAGAGCTTGTATTCCTGTTCCCCTGTTCCCTGACTAATGAACAGAATAGGTTCATTTATAGTATAAATACTTTAATTTATTCGTTGACATATCATTGTAATGATATATTTTATTTTGAAAGTAACAAATTTGTTACATATTATTAATAAATGTATAGATGATGGTAAATTTCCTAATATAATGAAAATTAGTAAAATCATACCACTTTTTAAATCTGGAGACAGGACTGACCCAATAAGTTATAGACCTATATCCATACTCCCAGCGCTCAGCAAAATTTTTGGAAAAATAATCCTTATGCAACTTGTCAGTTATTTCAATTTAAATAATTTAATTCACAATAGTCTATTCGGTTTTTCCAAAGGTCGTTCAACTACAGACGCAAGTGCAGAGTTGCTAAGACACATATTTGCTGCATGGGAAAATAAAATGGATGCTATAGGTGTTTTTGTGACCTTTCTAAGGCTTTTGATTGCGTTGATCATATGTAACACATTATTGAAAAAACTTGCTTTTTATGGCGTCAAAGACAACGATTTAAATTTAATATAATCTTATTTATCTGATAGAATACAGAAAGTAAAGGTTAGCAGCGCTACGTCTGACGGGTCACTTGTGCAAATGGACCGAGAATAGATCCTTGAGGGGTGTACCTCAAGGATCAAGGATCTATTCTCGGTCCATTTTTATTCCTAGTATACATAAATGATCTCCTATATGCCATGCAGGATAGATGCGGGAAAGTGTTATTTGCAGATGACACTTCATTCATTTTTAAAGTTAATAGATTGACTAATAATTATGACGATGTAAATAGTGCTTTGCGGCGTCTCTTGCACTGGTTTACAACTAACAATCTTATGTAAAACGCTAAAAAAACAAAATGTGTTAATTTTTCTCTGTCTAAAAGTTTTAATACTAATTGCAACATAAAATTAAATGACGAATCTCTCGAAATTATAGAATCTACTGTCTTTCTAGGAATCACATTAGATAATAAAATACAATGGGGTGCACAAATTCAAAGTCTTGCAGCGAAACTGAGTTCAGCAGCTTTTGCCGTGCGTAAGGTTAGACAGTACACTGATAATGATACTGCTAGATTGGTCTATTTTAGTTATTTTCATAGTTTACTCTCTTATGGAATATTATTATGGGGAAAAGCGGCAGATATTAAAAATATATTAATATTACAAAAACGTGCCATTCGAGGGATCTACTGTATGAAGAGTCGTAACTCATTAAGAGAGAAATTCAAAGAGGCTTCGTTGATGTTCGTTGCTTCTGAATTTATATTTTAAAATATCTTATATGTTCATGAAAATCTTTCCAAAAAACAGCAATATTCATAATATTAATACTAGATTAAAAGACAAACTTGCTGTAAACTTGCGAACCCAAGTTTCATTTAATGTTAGACATAGACACCTATATAAATACCTATTGTAAATAAACTGGATTTAAAAAAAAATATAATGTAAAAACTTACGTTCATAAGCGGCTAAAATGTCCTACATGAATAAATGAATTTGAATTTGAATTTATTATCTGTACTTAGCAACTAATAGAAATACATAGATACAGTTTTTGTCGTAAATACGTACATAATATACATATGAAACATAAAAACCGACACAATAGAATAATAAATAATTACCTGATCAATAGAAGTGGTGTATCAAATAAAAAAGCAGACGAAGTTGCGTAGGTAACCTTGTATATTATGTTATTATTATTTTTAATAAAAACTACGGGCTCTGGCATTCAATATTTATCTAATAATAATATCCTTGGAAAATTCACACAACGCCATCTAGTTCCAAGCTAAGCAGAACGTGTTTTAGGAGTAATAAACAACTGATATAAATACTTAAATGTATTTTTTTTTTAAATACATACATACATACATAGAAAACACCTAGACTGATACAATCAGTCATACTCATACATATGTTTGTAGCGTATGAAACATCGAACCCAAGACCATTGGAAGTAAGACGGTGCGCTAAACCTCTAGACAACCAAGGCCAAAAAATTTAACAGAAGTATGCTTAACCGTTATTACTAATTTATATAATTTTAAGTTTTCTCATAATATTACTTTTATTTTAATGTCAATGACATCATCATTGCCTTGCCTTTATCCCATTATTTGGGGTCGGCACAGTATGTCATTCTCTTCCAGTGCTCTCTATCAGTCGTCATATCTAAACATACTCTTCTTTTATTCATATCATCTTTCACACAATCCATCCATCTTTTCTTAGGGCGTCCCCTCCCTTTACATCCATCTACATTCATATTATACACTTAATGTCAATGACATGTCTCTATAAAATTTACACACGTACATCGTTGCATTGTTTCGTAATTATGTGAAAAAAACACTTGATGCATAGCAAATTGGTACAGTGTTTGGTTATTATTAAATATTCTATATATTTAATGAAAACCAAACACTAATTTGCTGATGCCCTTATATTTGAACATGATTACTGTTTGGATTTCTAATCATAAAGAAATGTTTTCGTCTAGAATATGTGTGAATTTAAACGCTTAATTTAAAATTAGAATACATAATTTTTTCATACATACAATACTTAATTATATATACTATGCGTTATAATTTAATTTAATTTTACAGAAGCATAATAATACCGAAAACTATATAACATAGAGTACATATGTATTTTATAACACATAATTTGATTTAACTTACAATCTGCAAGAAATCCAGCAGGATATCCTTCCAATGATTTAGAACTGTACATTGCCGTCACAACACTAAACAATATTGGCGCGCAAACTAATAATGTCATAGACAACATTTTAATTTATTTTTTATTTATCTTTTTAAATTAATACGTCTCACATTTGGATGACGAACATTTTTGTCATTTCGAAATTTGAATTTTTTATTTGCCTAATGATTACCGTGCGTGTCACACGTGCCAGATCCCCTGACAATCTGGCCGATTCTTCGTTCAGACTTCTATATTTGCTCTTCGGGCTGCACTACCGCTAATATAAACCTTGAATCTATTAAATTAAACCATTTTTTTTTCTAAAATTACGGCATTGTAGCGATGACTTGATTTCAATGTAACCTTTGGTCAGAATTTAATCCAATGTCGTTAATTAGTAAGTAGCAGTTTGCCTCTATGCTTACCTATGGTCAGCAAGCGTGTTCTTGTCCTAAAATTTATTTTATAACGGGTCTATATAATATTCTAATTATATCTATATGTAAGGTAAAAATAGTGATAAAATTCTATTTTTATTACTATATAGGACCTCGCGAAATATCGATCTTATCTGATGACACGCAATCATGAAGTCGACCATGAATATTGCAAAATACAAAGGAAACCTGACATAATCTTGAGATGTTTAGATTAGGTATCTATAATCTGAATACGGATTATAAGATGCAGTTTGGTAAATGTTGATCCCTGCCCGATAAGAGAGAAAAATAAATTAAAAACATAACATTAACATAACAATGTAATATTTAAAAAAATAGCATCAAGTGAATAAAGAATGGAGGTCTGATTGCTTTTTAAATTATAATTAATTATAATAATAATATTAAAACCTGAATTCAAGTGGACCCCACTTGAATTCAGGTAAGAAATATCGTCTGTCCTAGCAATACAATAAAAAATCATGTCAAATTTGTTGTTTTTGAAATTTGACAATTTAATTCCATCTTTTAAGTGTACCCCATTTTATTCTTAGACCGTCCAATTAAAAATGTAGTGATGTAGAATCATTAGAATAATTAGAAACACATTTTACAAAACAACTTTTATAAACTTAACTTACATGTTGATTTCTAATATTTTATAACGTAGACACTTTAAAAACAAATCCATTTATTTACTTTGTTTTTTCTCCAGGTTTCTGATGCGGAAAGCAGATTACCAGATATAAATTTAGAAAGGGTCGTTGTAATGATACTGCATAATGATAGTTGTATTCATGAGGGTACCTGAACTATTATTAAAAGTATATCATTACTTTTCATAAACAAGTCAGACAAGTGAAGATGCGTCGAAAAACAATATTATAAAATTTAAATGCCATGCTGTAATTGGTTCCTGTATCATCACTTGCAGTAAATGTCTCGTGGGTTATCATTTAAAACCCATTAAACGACTTTCTGACAAAAAACAGTGTGCGATATAAATAAAGAAAATTGAATAAACTCCTATCAATATATATCAAGACGATACCAAATGAATGTTATGGACTGGTCCGATGTTAATGATGTTTCTTTCAATGGATAACGTTGAAATTTATTCAATTTTTTTAGTACTGTATATTTAAGTTTTTTTTTGTAAATGGGTAATTTCAATAGAATAATTTGTGCCTCTTTTTAATATTTTACAGATTCTGACAGAAAAAAATTAGCGAATATTTCTGTCAGCATAGATGCAGGATGGGGTTAAAATTTGTAACTAGTGAGCCTGGCTCTTACTTATCCGGAAAAGCAGCTCCGCCATTTAAATATATAGAAACCCATTTAAATATACCTACAAAATGTCGTTCAAATCTGTCCAAACGTTGAATGACAAACACGCAGTATATGTCAATCATTTGAACCGTCTGATTCAAATGGTTGACATGTACCCAAAATTGCCTTAATAATTTGATCCAACCATATAATACATATTTAGAGAATCCTCCATTTTAAAAGTTAGTTCTGTTACAAATTGGCGAAGGCAGAGAACAGCTAATCAGATTACAGCAAACACGAATATAACAGTACAGTTAAATTGGGTACCTCCTCCTATTTTCAAGTCGGTTCTAATTGTAAATGTACTTGTTCGAATACGGATGTCATCAATTACCCACTATCATAAGTCATAAGATGATAATCTAGTAGTGAATAAAAAAAATAAGCAAAAAAAGTATGTAATTTGAATTTTTCGCAGTAAAAAAAAACAACATCAACCATAATTGTGATCCTTTGACATGTGTACTAAAAATCTAGACGCCATTATATTAATGACATAAAATAAACTATGAGGAAAACCGTAAAAATTTCATTATTATATCTAAGTGGTTTAAAAAACGTGTCATGTCCGAATTGATCTCCTCACGTTTTAGCTTAGATATAAATTAATATTGATTTCTTTATAACTAGATATAAATTAATATTTTGTTCCAAAAGAAAATATAGCTACGAGAACAACCTTAATCTAATTAATATTATAAGACGAAAGTTTGTAAGTATGGATGTTTGTTACTGTTATACGCAAAAACTACTAAACGGATTTTTATGAAACTTTACAGTAATATAGCGTCAGAATAACACATAAGCTATATTTTTATTGACATTTAACGCGGATGAAAATGCGAGCACAGCTAGACTTTAATGAAATTGCAGCGAACTTTAGTATAACAGCTTAGTTCTCAAAAACACATGAGTTTCGACGTGCATATTTCGTGACTGACATCCAGTGGACAGTCAGCTTGTTTGTTATTTGAAATTCATAAAGAAATGTTAGGTACAAATGTAATAAAAAGAAATCAATATTAAGAACTAACGAAAAATGTATATGTGGTTAATATACATGCGGTTGAAGTAGAAGCTAGAGGTATACCAGCGCAATGTCTACAATCTTCTAACATATCGCTGTCTGCCTGTCTCTAACTGCAGTAAGGTCTATACAAAAATGTGAAGAGAGGAAAACTCCGAGCAGTTTCCGGGACTCGTGACCAGGATGTAGGTTTAAGGAGCCCCTTGGCCGACGTACATCAACACTCAGCTTCACCGCTCGTGTTTCTCTCCCTGCCCATCTAAAACTGGTAGGAGCTCACTATTGCAGCTTTAGATTATGATAAATATCCCATACATATAATGTTTATGTTTTTCAATGGAGCAATAAAAAATTAAACATAGATTAAATACATTAAAAGCGTACGTTAAGTAGTAATTAACTAAAAATAAATAATTACCTGTAGTTTGGTACAACATCACGAATCAGCAATACAAAAAACGTGGGTCATAACAACAAGTCGCTAACATATTTTTAAATTTATAATATACTAGCAGACTTGGCAAACTTCGTAAATATATTTTCATTGTGTAATATTTTGTAGTATTATTTAAAGATTGTTTTTCTTAACTGTTAGTAAGTAACAAAACACAGCATATATCAGATTATAAAATTTTTCTAATGAAAACTAAAAGAATATTTATACAATTCTTTATTTATGAATTATATTATAAATAAGAAACATGTGATATTCTTTATTTGTTATGGATAAACGAAAAATACTGTAATTAATTTTTATTTCTTTTAGTTACAGATATATTATAATCTAATAACATAATGAAACCTATGTTATTAGCTGAGTACTCCACTCGCGCAGTGCCTCGAGGTATAGATATTACCACCAATTTACATTATATCTTTTTTAAATTATTATATATCCTTTGTGTTGTTATATACGTTAATAAAGTTTATATTATTGTAGAGTTTCAATAAAATCCGTTCAGTAGTTTTTGTGTGAAAGAGTAACAAACATTTATCTATCCAGCTACACTCAAAAGCTTTCACGTTTGTAATATTAATGAGATGAACAGTACTACGTACTACTGACATAATATTATTATATGACTCAACGATAACATTCTGCGTAGACATACCCGAGGAAGGTATCATGCCTCGTCTTCTGAAATTTTACAGCCTAAACTGCAGTCAAAACGCAGATTACAAAGCAAACTGTTTCACAGCTGAAATAGTTGAGACCAAAGTACGTATGCAAACAAGAATATACAGTGTTCAAAACAAAATTTACGTTCAAAATGAATACAAAGAATTTGGTAGTCCTCTATTAGACAATAGGCCCACGTCACAGCCCTAAATAGGGGCAAGGTCACTTTGGGATCTGTCTTTCGCAACACGCCCTGCAATTACGAAAAATTGTCATTTATTACGACCTAAGCGGTCATAATAAACGTTTAAACAGATTATTGTATGTTGATTTACGCATAGAGATACCAAAATGTACAATCAGCTACATTTAAACAATGCTAGCACTGTCTATATACTTGTACTCCATCTCCTGCATCTTCCGAAGTTTCACGGATTCGATTCATTTGTACTCATGAACATAACTGTTTGTATCGATCTGGGTCTTATCTATATATGTATTTATAAAACAAAAAATATTTCTATCTATTTATATCAGTGGTCTAGTACTCGTAAATGTTAAAACGACTAAATGTCGTTATGAATTGGCCTGGAATATTATATTATTACTATGCAAATAAAATAATACATTTATTTGATGGTTTTATCATTTTTATAACCAGTCAAATATTTTATAAGTTCGTCCTTCATAAACATACATATAAAAATAAAAATAAATATCATTATAAAATTAGTTCCAAAATTGCTAACAGTCACGACTTTATCTGCTTAGATCCTACTTGGATTAAGCAAATTTTTTTAACAAGTTCTACATCCCTTTCTTCCGAAATGTATAAATTTTTATACAAACTGTCATCCTGTATTTCACGTTTTATTTTTGTGGCAAAAAGTAGCCTATATCCTTCGCCAAGGTCCAATCTATCACTATACGAAATTTCATAAAATATGGTTCAATGGTTTTGTCGTGAATAAGTAACAGACAGACAGCCAAAGTTTGTTTAGCATTTATCTCAAATGTTATCTAAAATGTCCCTCACTGTCTGTAGGTACATCAGATAAGCATAAAATAGTTCTGCGAGTATTTAACCTTAGTATAATCTGTGGTTTACGAACTAGATTTTGTAGTTATGTTTTTTGTGTATACTAACTGGCCCGGCAAATTTCGTACTGCCTGAAGATAATCGTAAACAGGCAATGAATATATTGCTATTAAAAAATTGGGGTTGATGGTAGAAGGGTGACAATTTAGGATTATATGTACGTATTTTTTAAGCTATTAAAAAAAGTAAAA